AATACGATGTCTGTCCCAAAATAATTGGTACATTTGAATATTTTCCTTTTCATAATTGGGAATGCTTATTAACCCACTGACTGCAGATTACTGTAATCTTCATCTTTGCAGCTGTATGGCTCAACTATAAAATGACACTGTTCTGTTAGAGATGTTGAAAATACAAAGACTAAATCCTCTGCAGAGAGGTAAAACACCCACACTCCAAGAAGCCACTTACTAGGTAGATGCTTGCAGATTTAAGTTCTGACAGGCAATGTTTACCTATAGCCTCAAGTATAAACCTAACCAACATTTACCTATAAGCTCGAGTATAAACCCAACCAATGTTTACCTATAGGCTCGAGTACAAAACCAACCAATGTTTTTTTTAATCACTTAATAAAGCCACTAAGTCACAAGGGGTTTATTGAGTGTTAAAGAATATGAGAAAAAAAATACTATTAAGGAGAGAGAACAGATGTAAGACACCTACAACTCCCAAGAAGGTACTTACTAGGTAGATGCTTGCAGATTTGAGTATTGACATTTACCTATAGACTCAAGTATAAACCCAACCAACATTTATCTATAGGCTTGAGTATAAACCTGATCAACTTTTACCTATAGGCTCAAGTATATACCTAACCAATGTTTTTTTGTTTTGTTTTTTAAATCACTTAATAAAGTCACTAAGTCACAATGGGTTTACTGAGTGTTAGAGAATAAGAAAAAACCACTATTAAGGAGAGAGAACAATTAAAGAACACTGGGAAGTAAGAAACTGGAAGAATGTTCCACAAGCAAGAAGTGCAATAGAAGAAACTGAGCATAGAATTTATAGTTAGATATAACTATTTCAACTGTAAAATATGCCACCATCTAGTAATGCACTTATATTCATAAAGTCTAGGCACCACAGAGGAAAGTTCATAAAGAACAATTAGCCTGAAAGTATTTATACAAAAGGCACAGGGAAGCTACATTATGGTGGTGGGAAAGTGACTGAAGGCAAGATGCCAGGTCAAGACCAATAATACTACTGATTCTTTGAATTTTATCAAGAATATCTAAATATATAGCAGGAGTACCAGACCAGATGTGGCAGCAATATTCAAAGCAATGATGAATGGTAGACTTACAAATATGTAAGCTGACTAATATCTGCTTATAGGTGCAAGTATACACCCAACCAATGTTTACTTACAATCTCAAGTATAAACTTTGAAAAAATATTTACCAAAACAATCCTGTTCTATCCCTATGAAAAATTTTACTAAATTTAGGATGTTTTAAGCACATAGTGAGGAAAGAACTCTTTATAGACAGTGAGTATAATCGATAACTTAAGTTTTTCATTGGGTGGTCCAAACTTGTACGTTGTGCCATGTAACGTGAGCTTCATAAAAATATTTATACCACCTCCTCAGTACCCTGTGGAGAATTGAGCCACAACCTTCCCATGCTAGTACCATAGCCTCTTTACACTAAGCATTTCTGCAATTGTGTCCCTAGTAGGTTTTAACAGTGTGGAGTTGCTAGTCTTACTTGCGACCATTTTTGAATGCTATTTAACACAGAGTATTTTGTGCAAAAGCATACGCACATAGCATAGCAGTTATCGGTGCAGAAATTAACATCAGCATGTTAATTTAAAAATTTAAGAGTTTGTAGCATTCAACAATATTTACTAAGCACTGATTATTTTGGTACAAGGCTAAAAATCTGAGGTATCCAGTGGAGGTTAAACTCCCTCATGGAGGAATTGTTATCATGATAACCATTACTCCACGATGGAGCCTCATTTTTGACAGAGATTAAAAGCAATCTCTTCTTTTATAGAAAATAAAAAGGAGAAGTGAGTGAGATATCCACAAACAATAAAATATAGCATCAACAAAAGCACATGCACAAGATGCAAGGCAATTGGCTTGGATTTTTTTGTACAACGAATATCAAGAATTGGAAAGAAAACAATCACAAACATTTAAATTTTTTTTGTCTTTGGACATGTTCATTAATGAGAGAACCCGAAGTGGCACCAAAGGGCCCAGAAATAATTGTTATATAATAAATGTTATATTAAGAAAGTTAATGATAAAAACCAATGGCATTTGGAAGACAACACTGTTTCCCTATATTAAGCTGGCAGGTTGAAAACTTTAATCGTAAAACCCCACAAATCTTTAAGTCTTCTCAATTCAAAAGATAACTGACTTTTAACTGCTGCCCAATTTAAGACATTAAAATTGTCCTGTCTCTCTGACACTCACATTGTCAATGTTTTATCCTCTAAGCCAGTGGTTCCCAAACTTTTTTCCACCCCACTCTGCGCTGCATTTTTGGAATGAAAATTTGCTTGTGCCCCACCAAATTTAAGATGATAAAAAGTACATTGTTAAAAGGAAATAACTGGATTAGAAGTCAGAACATTATAATTGATAACTCTCTCCTCCAATTTGCCAACCTTAGTTACTATATTCCTTGATATATTGGTCAATAATTATTTATAACAATTTATACTGGGACATAGATGCAATTGCAAGTAGTCCATGATAATATTTTAAATTTTGAAATCCTATTTATTTTTTGCATATGAATTTTTTGAAACTCTTTCTAAATCTTTGTCTTTCAATCATTCCAACTCACCTGCTATTCTCTTCTGCCACAATTATGAGAGACACAGCAACATTTGGGAACCACTGCTCTAAGCAATGATATGTGACATTTTGATCACATGACCTTCATGTTACATGTCATGGTTAAAGTTACATGAACAAACTAAGTACATGTTTCTCAGGTGGATTTTGGCCATATATAAAGGATGTGACAAACCTCCCACTGCTCTCTCGCCACTTCCATGGAAAGTACTCAAACTGGATTCCTTGGTTCATGAGTCCTAACCTTCGTGACCAGGAACTGTCATACCACTCACATTGTAGCAAGCTACCCACATTCCCTCTGTATAGAATCAGTAAGTTTTTGTGGAACCAACTCCCAATGGAATGTTTTCCCCGATCACTACAATCTTAACTTTTTCAAGTCAAGAGTTAACCATTATCTTCTACTATCCACATAAACTGTCTCTTACTGTAAGCTTGTACCTCGAGTGGCTCCTAGGCCTTGTACAGAGTGAACCTCAATTATATATATATATATATATATATATATATATATATATATATATATATAGGAATATATATAAAAAAATCTGCATACATGCACAAATAGGAATATGTATAAAATAAAAAAATACTGTGCTCAATCTTATGAAACAGAGCTAAATATATATTAGTGAATATATGTATAAATATATATATTAGTGAATATACATAATTTATAAATATATTGAATATACATCAATCTTAAGTATAATTAGTGAATATACATATATATATATATATATTAGTGAATATAGCTATAAGTATATATTAGTGAATATATATAGCTATAAGTATATATTAGTGAATATACATAATATAGCTATAAGTATATATTAGTGAATATACATAATATAGCTATAAGTATATATTAGTGAATATACATAATATAGCTATAAGTATATATTAGTGAATATACATAATATAGCTATAAGTATATATTAGTGAATATACATAATATAGCTATAATATATATTAGTGAATATATATTAATATATTATAAGTATATAAGTGAATATAAAAATAGACTATAAGTATTATTAGGAATATACATAATATAATAATTTATTTAATATACACCAGAGTATTATGTATATTACCCATACGGATTATTATAATAATTTATTTCATAGAGTCCTTGGGAAATACGGATTAAATAATATATATATATATATATATATATATATATATATATATATATATATATATATATAGTGGAGTAATGGATAGTAGCTTGATTGAGGAAGCCAAGTTCAAATTCCAGTCAAATCCATCACATTCACTTATGCGCTAATACCCTTGGGAAAAGTATGAATCCTCTTCTCCCTTAAGCTATGAGTAAATAGCAGGACAGACCGGATTTTATAAGCCTTGGATGGCAACAGGTCTAGGAGAAGGACAATTCTGAATTGAAAATCTGCGGAGGGGACCTTGTGGCACGTATTGCACTAGGTCTCTGTATTCAGGCATACAAAAAGTGTGGATGGTTCTGCACAAAACCTTTCCCACTATAATCAAATCTCATGTGCTGATGTCGAGCTGTTAGTTCCTAGAAATTGATCTACTTGACACTCATACGTCAAATCAACTGAAGAGTTATATATATATATATATATATATATATAGTAAAAATTCCTGGTAGTATTTATATTAAAATTCTCTTGTGGGGTCAAACTGACAAAATATCACAATTGTATTTATATGTAGAGAATTTGTTGTCATATTGTGAAACATCAAATATAGAACCTATTTTAATGTAACATTTAAATTTAACCTTTTTTATTATTTATTTTTCTGCAGCATAACCATTATTTCTTGACAGATTTAAAAATATAAACGATATATAGGACAACACTGATGTCAATATTTGAACCAGATTTTGCAAAATTAGGTCTTTTTTTTTTTCCTATAGGATGCCAAAATATATACCAAATTGTTTATTAATCTAAGTTTAATAAAAAAATTTATAATTTGGTCCCATATAGCTCATTTAATCATCTTACCAAGGTTTCGTCCATAAATGAGACGAGTTAAGACTTAACCAAATCTATAGAAAAATTACATTTTTGAAACCATTTTTGTGATTTTATTTGAGCAACATTCAATAAAATTTACACAAAATTTCCTTGGTTTTTACGTTTATTTTTTTTGTTTGCTAGCTGCTATGGTTCTGTCATTTTATGAACATGTCCTTTCATTGCTCTAAAAAGAGCCTCTGAATGGATTCTCACAAAAGTCACACACTGGGACAATACCTTATATATAAACAAACTACCTCAAGATCCAAAATAGCAACAGCAGCAGCCGTCAAACTTTTTGCTGCTGTGACAGTTAACAATTAAAGTACATTACCAAACTGACCTGGATTTCTCTCCAATTGGGAGGCAAGGCAAGTGTTACTGTGGTCAACTCTCTTTGTGCTGAAATAAATTAATTGAATGTATTTTATTCCTTAGGTGAGAGAAAAATGATAAAATGATTTCCACCCAGTAGCATTGGAAGAATTCATAAATATGGTTCTCACTGGACATTTGGGGGGGGGGTTAAAAACTGAGGTTTTAAACTATTGGAATTCAAAGTTAAAATGATACTTGAAAGGAAGTGGGGAAATAAAGCAAAAAATTAATCAACCGTGAAGTCTTGTTTCCATTTGATTCAAAATGTAAATGATAATTTAACATATTACATTTATTTTTTTTTAATTAAAACAAAAAAAAAAAAACCAGCAATTTAAAAGACAAAGATACAGACATGCACTACTTTATATAAAAATTGTTCCCAAGCTTGTGCCCAGGAAAGTACACTCCAGAATCACCTAACCTGGACTCATTTGGTAAAACAGACACTGTGCTAACGAAACAAAAGTTGGATTTAGAAAGAGAGAAGAAAAAATTAAAGAAAAAGAAAAAATTAAAGAAAAAGAAAAAATTAAAGAAAAAGAAAAATTAAAGAAAAAAAGAATGAGGGAGAAAGTGGAAGAAAAGGGGGAGAAAAAGAAATGGAAAAGAAAAGGAAATAAAATGGAAAGGGGAAGAAAAGAATGGGGAAGGAAAGAAAAAAAAGAAAGGGAAATAAAATGGAAAGCAAAGAACAGGGAAACAAAAGACAGGATAGGAAAAAAAGAAAAAAAGCCCAAAAAGGGATCCATGGTCGCTCTGTTTCTCTAATCCAACCAACAGGTGCATACATACACACACACACACGTGTGTGTGTATGTGTATATGTTATATATATATATATATATATATATATGTGAAAATATATAGAAAATAGGAAGGAACTGGTTAGGTAAATAATCCAAAGTCCCTTAGTATTTTAGTTATTATTTTTAAAAAATAGTGCTCGATACAAAAGTAGAGCATAAATATAATTATTTATTTAAAAATATGATTCCAAATCGCTACATAAGAGGTCTCATGTTTCAAAACAAGAGCCGAAAACTACAATATAATCCTTTAAATTAAATTGAGTTTAAATTAAAATGGGCTCCGTTCCATCTTCAAGCAAAATTTTTGTTGGAATCCAACAAAAATTTCGCTTGATATATATCCTGGGAGAAAAAAAAAAAAAAGAATTAAAAAACAATTTAGAAAACAATGAAGCAAGAAAATCCCTTATGGTGAGAAAATACGAAAAGAAGAAAGAAAAAAAATCAAACCCATGCCATTTATGGCTATTTAGTTTATTACAGAAAACAAACAAAACCCCTCCTGTGAGTAAAATTTTTAACTTAGTTTCTGCAGAAGGTCTAAATAGCCCCCTGGTGACCATTTCACATGTTACAAATATAAACATGACACTATTCTTTTGCAGCCTGCAGAAGAAAAAAAACAAAGAAAAGATTGGCTTCTGGCTAGGAAATTTTCATATATATATATATATATATATATATATATATATATATATATATATATATATATATATATATATATTCAAGCCTATTGGGTTAAATAATTTAGACATATTATGTCTACTTATTTTAAAGTTAATCCTTTCAAGTTCACGGATTAATTTCTTGGTAGCTGTAGAAAATTGATCAAAAAAAATTCCAAAATTTTTCAGTCTCTTCTGAGATAATCTTCAGAGATCGAGTATGTATGCATGAACTCTGCAAAAATTCAAAATATTTACCTGTTATACAAGGGAGGTAACTAATGAGATTTTTTATTTTTGGAGTACATTTTTGTGCATGATCACCATAAAATTCAAAATATTTACCCACTATGCAAGGGAGGTAAAATATTTTTTTTTTTTTTTTTTTTTTTTTTTTTTGAAAGGAGGGGAAGTATATTTATAGGAGTTTAAAAGATTTTTTTAAATTGTATTTTTTAACAATTCTAATTTAGAATTTTTAAAGACTTTGCTGCTATGAACATTTAAGAACTTTGTTGCTATACTTGTACTTGACTTTATTTTTGGCCACAATTCTCTTATATAAAGAACTTCTAGAATTTTTAGTTTTTGCTTATTATTATCTTGGTGGAGTACTGTTGTATTTTCGACTAACATTTGTCTAAACTATGAATGTGAGAACGAATGTTCCTTTAAATACTCTGATATTGAACTATGTTTAAGCAAAACGTAAGCCTTCATAGTCACTGTATTAAAACCAACATACATATTATTAATACTTTTGTTAGAAATCTGATCTCCCAAAGGATATTTAAATTGATATACAATGTTGGTCTTTTGTAAAAAGCCATTTGACAGAGAAGAGTCATTATGAATGACTAAGTTGGTTACATCATTGATAAACAAATTAGACAAGCTATCAAAAATATTAACATAAATCAAAAAGACCATAATACATCCTCAGATAATTCTAACAAACATATCAAACTACTATACGGTAATCATATATATATATATATATATATATATATATAATTCGCTCTGAATTAACATTGAGCTCTCAGGATTTCATCCTTCTTGGGATTATCCATGCAGATTACCAAGATTTGTCACTTTTTATATATATATATATATATATATATATATATATATATATATACACACACACACACTTCATAAATTATAAATTTTCAGCAAGATGTCCAGACATGGCCAAAAGTTTAAAAACAGAAATTAACATTTCTCTATTAATGCTGGATATTACATGATCCATTTTAAGTTCATGTAAACAAACTGTAATTATAAGCAATATTGCATCACCTTCAAGTTTGAAACACCAACACAGAGTTTTGGCTTGTTTGAAAGCTGTGAGGTTATTCTAAAGAATATTTTTTGTTAAGGCTCTATACATTAAACACTATTCATCACATATTCTGGCATTCAAAGTGCCTTAATAGTAACATTACATGGAGAGGTGTTCTATGATCATGAAATCTCAGTCCAAATGGATGGTAACAAGACTGTAGTTACCAATGCTATTGTCAAAAACCAAGCCAATGGCTATTATTCTGTCAATAAAAAGTGGACAGGCCAGAAAAACAAACCCAAGTAATGATCAATATCAAATCCATTGGTTCATGATTTAATAAGTTCATGCCAAAATTCTATTCAAGCTGCTTTGCTTGCCAGAGCTACAAATGTGATTTTTAGGTCCATTTCTCTCAGATTGGTCAATAAATTTCAACTAAGATCCTGTGAAGTTGTCTAGAAACCGAGGTTGACTGTGGAAATGAAAATGAGGCACCTGGCATTCACAAAAAAACATGAACATTGAACAGAAAAAGAAAATGGGGAAACTTTGTTTTCTGATGAATCCACAGTAAATAGTTTGTTGTGTGGCAACATTATACTAGAAGACAACCAGGAAAGAGATATGATAAAAAAAAAAAAAACATACCATGAAAAGTATGAAACCCCCACCTCAGCTAGAGGAATTTCAAACAGCTGGTTTATATTTCCTAAATCCTGCAACAAACATGAATGACTAAAGGATAAACTAGGAAGTCACATGCACATACATGGTTGAAGCACATTTATGCATGATGGTGCACCATACCATAAAGCAGAGAAGGTGCAAGAATATCTTAAGGTCAAGGTCATAACATTGGAATAACATTGCAACAACTTTGACCTCAATCCCATAGAAAATTAGTGGGATTACATGAAAAATAGAGTTGTACACGAACAACCAGCTAATGCTCTTGTGGATGCAATGAAGGACATATGGGATTTAAGCAGAATATTGTCTGAGTTTCACTCCCAGCATGCCTTATCACACTGAAGTGGTTGTCAAGGCAAAAGGTCACCATACAAAATACTAATTTATATTGAAACTAATAGGAAATAAACAGCTTTTAATAAAGTTGATACACTGAAGTGGTTACTGCCTTTTATTTTTATACTATTGTGCAATTTGCTTTTGTGAAAAAATATTGGGCTTCCTTAAAATTTTGGTCACAACTACTTTTTAAATTTAAATAAACAATTAAATATTCAGTTTAGCATACCTGATAGGCATGAAGTAAGTATCCAGTTTAGCATTCAGCTGACATATTATATCAAATTTCCAAATAAAAACTTTAAAACTCTTGGAATTTTCAAAAATATGTTATGGTGTCCTATGGATAACAAAATAAAATTAGGGAACCATACCTCTCACCATTATAGCCATAATTACTATTATTTGATGTAGAGACATTCCCAGAATTGCACATGATGCTAGAAATGCTTAAATTTCTAGGATCACCTAATTCCCAATGTGAACTGCTGCTACAACTATAGTATTGGCAAACAATCAGATTTGCCACCAATGAATTTGTAATCTGAGCCAGGTTGACACAATGAAGGTAAGCATCTATACTTTAAAATTATTGAGGTTATGGTCTCAGAAAAAAAAAAAAAACCTCACTACTGACATGAAAGAATAAACACAGAGTAAACATCTAGTTAAGCATTATACATAATAGTTTTTCTAAGTAACTCAATTATAAGCAAATGCATTCAAATTTGACAGAATCTTAAGCAACTGTGCCTGTGTGACTTAAACAGCTAAAACAATAGAGAAAAACAAACAAAAAAATGCATAAAAAACAAAAAGAAAAAGATAATAAACCAGAAAAGAGAGAAAAAGGGAAAAGAAAAACAAAAAGAGAAAAAGAAAAAAAGGAGAAAAAGAAAAAAAGGAAAAAAAAAAAAAGGAGAAAAAGAAAAAAAGGAGAAAAAGAAAAAAAGGAGAAAAAGAAAAAAAGGAGAAAAAGAAAAAAAGGAGAAAAAGAAAAAGGCGAAAAAAAAAAAAGGAGAAAAAGAATTTTTCTGTTTCTTTTTGTCCTTTTGTCATAAGATGTTGGAAAACGAAAAAAAAAAACAGAAAAAGTAAAGCAAAACATAAAAAAAGTGAGGAAAAAAACAGAAAAATGGGGGAGGGGGGACAGAAAAAGTGAGGGGAAAAAACGAAAACAGTGGAAAACAAACAAAAAAATTAAGGTAAAATAAAAACAAAAAAGTAGAAAAAACAAAGAAAAAAGCAAAGCAAAGTAGAAAAAAAACAAAGTAGAAAAAAAACAAAGTAGAAAAAAAACAAAGTAGAAAAAAAACAAACTAGAAAAAAAACAAAGTAGAAAAAAAACAAAGTAGAAAAAAAACAAAGTAGAAAAAAAACAAAGTAGAAAAAAAACAAACTAGAAAAAAAACAAACTAGAAAAAAAACAAACTAGAAAAAAAACAAACTAGAAAAAAAACAAAGTAGAAAAAAAACAAAGTAGAAAAAAAACAAAGTAGAAAAAAAACAAAGTAGAAAAAAAACAAAGTAGAAAAAAAACAAAGTAGAAAAAAAACAAAGTAGAAAAAAAACAAAGAAAAAGTAGAAAAACACAAAGAAAAATAAAAAGAATAAAATGTACAACTGAACAAAAAGAATTACTAAATACATTTTATACTGTACTCAAGAATTCTACTAGTTACATAGAAATGTCTTTCCTTTCAATTTATCAGACTCAAGCATAAAAAAAATTTAAGCAACTTGTGCAAATATTAAGCAATTCTAAAGTGTTTATTAAAAAAAAAAAAAGAAAAATAGCATAGTTACATTATAAGCTAAAAATTAATTGATTGATTCCCTCCAAAAAGAAATGAATCGTAGTCATTCAAATATATAAAATCTGTTTCATACAAAAGTACAGTAGTTAAATTTAACAAATCTTAATCATATACAGGGAGGGGTCTGCAAAAGTAGGTGTACAGTAAGTATTATAACATTATTAGTATGTTTGTATAATCAATACAATAGATTTTGCGTGCACATATTTTTTTTATTGTATATCTACTTTTGCAATGCTTTTTCTCTCTTATATATATATATATATATATATATATATATATATATATATATATACACACACACACACACACACACACACACACACACACTGGAAAACCCTGGACATGATTTTGATATGCATATTAGAACTATTTGGGTGATATGCAAGTGATTTGAAAATTCTGTTTTTCAGCAAATTTACTTTGCATAATTGCTTATACTTATTTCACCCTAATGGCTTTTATTGGTGCAAAAGATGATGGGAATAAGAGGAAAAGAACAACTTTGAAGTTATCACAAAAAGTGGAAATTTTAAACAGACTAGACACTGATGAAAGTACATTGTAACTAATGGCTGAGTTCAACATAGGAAAGTCAACATTGCATGATATAAAATCTTCCAAAGAAACTATTCTCCAGTATTCACACTGTCACACTGAACAAAGAAATACAAAAAAAAACATGATTGTGATGAAACCTGGACTGAAACTGAAAAAGCTATTGAAAAGGTTGTCAGTTTTATGGAAAGAAAGCCAGCATTCAGCTATGAACGATTGCAATAACACATGCAGAGTTAAAAATGTCTTTCATTTAAAAAATTTCAAGAACGAAAGCAAAACGAAATGTGGAAAAAGTTGAGAATGACATAAGAAGAGAAAGAATCATCATGCAACAGCAATTAAAAAATCCTCATTACATTATTTGTTCTGCATACATGGCAGACTTAATTTAACGAATTTTCATTAACATTACATAATTTAATTATTTTTCCTTCATATCAATTCCGTCATATTTCATTCACCATTAGCTTATTTTGTTTAATATAAAACACTGAAAATAAATGTTAAACCTGATTTCAGTTCTTTTATTTTAATCTAAATATAACCCCTCGAAGGCAGAAGGCTTCCTTAGTCCAGTTGTCTGGGAGTCTACTATATATATATATATATATATATATATATATATATATATATATATATATATATATATATAGGAAGATGGAATGTTTTTTTTTAAGCAATTGTGGGATTTTATTAATAATCCAACATTGTTTCTTATTGCTGTAAGTGCAATATTTAGTTCAGTGCACATATTTCAGCAAACATCTTTGTTTTTTTGTTTTTTTTAAACAATGAAATTAATTTCTTTTGGGAAAGAGACCAAAAGTCTTAATAAATTAAAAGTGCCTTCTGATAGGAGTCAAACATGTATTTTCTATGGTGAAACACTTAAAAGTAGTTTTCCTGATTTAAGTGTGAGTTCTTAAATAAGCACTGGAAACAATTATAATTTATTTTTTACTTAAAAACTTGCACCAGAAATGCAACCTTACCTATATTCTACTCAAGACAACACCTAGAGGCAACAGTATGTTTCATGCTAAATGCAATCATCAGACCATGTGTTTAGCATGAAACAGACTGTTGTTTCTGGGTGTTGACTTCAATGTCCACTTTCATATTTACATACACTATCTGATATTGAGCACTTTAGCCTATAAATATAGCATACCTTAAAACTATATTTTATCATACATACAAGACAAAATATAGTTTTAAGGTATTCTATAATTATTCACTCACCAGTTTACCATCACCCAAGGCGACACATTTGTAGTGTTGAAACATAATTGTAATTTTGAAGTGATTTTTAATGTTTTTGTTTTAATACCCTATATATATATATATATATATATATATATATATATATATTTTCTTGAATTCATAAAACATAATGAACTTATTTGCAATAAGCTTGCAAGAAATTTCTTATAGAAAAAAAAAAAAAATGGAGTTAAAAAAAAAAAAAAAAAAGAAACAAATATTTACTTGTAATCTCTCTCCCAAAACTTGACCGGTCGGACATAAGATGTAATGAAGATGGCACTCCCGAGGAATGGATTGAGTGGTGTGGAAAAAATTGCTGAGACTGCTGTCTGAACGAACAGCATAGCTGAATCTGGGTACAAGCCATTAAGGGAAACATTAACAAAGCAGAAAAAAAATGTTGAGGACCAACAGAACAAGACAAAAAAAAAACATGCAACCACTATAGTTTTTACATGTGAAAAACATTTAGATATATATTTCACACCAGTTAAGGTAATAAAGCCATTAACACACAGAAGGTTACTGTGTGTGAAAGAATATACAACAAAAAAAATTATGAAGGAGCGAGACCAATAAAAGAACAGAAATTCAGAAAACAATTTTCATTGCATTTAAATTTTTGAAGATCAAAGTTGACTGGGAAGCAAAAAGAGAGTTCCACAAGTGAGAAGTGCGAGAAAAGAAGCTATCAGCAAAGAACTTACATCAGTTACATCTTGCCATTCCAACTTTAAAATGATGAGACCTTGCTGCCAATCTAGTACTGCACTTAAATTTATAGAGTCTAGGTTCCATAAAGGAGAGTTCAACAGAATAATTACCATGAAAGTATTTATAGAAAAGGCACAGAGAAACTATGTTACATTGGCAGGAAAGTGACTGGAGCCAAGATGTCAGGTCAGGACCAATGACATTGCAGATTCTTTTTGGGATTTTATCAAGAATCTCTAAATATATCTCAGATATTTAAAAAAATTCAAGTGGCAAAATTCAAGATTTAGTTGCACTGAACTTTTAAATGTAGACAAATTTTATTCATAATTAATATTTCATTGATCTTAATTTTAGTCACTTCTCATTGCAGCTACTTAAGATCACAACAAGAAAAGAAAAAGTGTAAGTCTGAAAGCTTTCACCTTGGGCATTATTTACATTATTCGGACTATTGTCATCATCTTTGTCGCCATATTTATTACAATGTTTCGGCCATTGTACACTCTGGCCTTCTTCAGGTGGTTGGAATGTTGAACTTAACCCTTTATTTTGCTCACTGGGGTAGACTGTTCTAGTTCCACATGCCATGTTTAATGGATGTCAGTTATCAGTTAATTTCCCTCTGAAAGTTCTTCACTGCCTTAACCGGGTATTGAACTCACACTCTTTGGGTACTGTCACCGGATCTAGCTAATGCCTTTATCCCCTGTGCTATGTGTCCTTGAGGACATCTGGGTGTAAATTTCTGGGTATTATAATGTCTTCAGCAACCATTTTTACCAGTGCTCATATTGGGATTGTCATTGTCAAAGACATTGACCGTTATTTGTAAAACTGACGTCTATGATCCAAACCTGAAAGAGAAATAATTGCTCTTTTTAAGGAAAAGAGTTTTCAAAAGAAAGGATACGAGGTACACTGAATGGCTGAGCAAATGCATGAAAGGCTGAACCCCAGGTAATCTGCCAGGGAGCAATGTAAGTGAAGATAAACTTTAATTTCAGCAGGAGATCACAGAACTGAAAGCAAAGAGAAGTGGGGGGAAAAAAAAGAAGACATCAACATTTTGAGGAGAAATATTAAAAATATTTTACATGATAACAACAGTGCTTCAAAAGTTAAGGGCATTGGTTCTTGTTGGTATTTTGTCGGGTGTTTTTAATCATTGGGGCCAATCAGTTCAGACTAATTGGCTTGTCATTTTATAAAGTAACCAAAAATAAGAAGTCCTTGCTGTTTTTTTTATATCATGTGGGAAGAAGTGATCACTAATAGTAAATGAGTTAGTCAACGTGCCAAGAAAGCAATACAGGTGGGGGCATTGCCCTTGACCAATGCAGGTGCGTTCCACACACACACACACACATATCAATCAGGGAAGAGGAAACATGGTGGCATCGAAGCAGCTCATTCTGGATAGTCTGTTATATGACTTATGAGGTAGGACACAAACTCAGCACTCTTAGGACACCTCATTCTCTCTTTCACACATCAACAGAATTAAGTTCAACCATATCCATTTCTTCCTTTTTACAGAGACTATCATAAGAAAATTCTTTGTATTTACACTTTCTTTCAGGAACTTTCCTAGACAACTCCCGCTACTAAAAGGTCCTGATAGAATATAAATTTCTATCTCATTTTATTCATCTTCATATATCTCTCTTTCTTTCAACCAAACCAACACTTGTGCTATTTATTCATCAACACACAACTTTTGGGTATGTGTAAATAAAACTGGGAGCATGCATAGAGCAAATCCCAAAAAGCTAGTGCTCTTTCATACTGCACTGCAGATGAGGTAGGACATGAACTCGGCACTCCTAGGACACCTTGTTCACTCTTTCATTCACCAACAGATTAAGTTCAACCTTTCTTCCATTTCTTCCTTTTTACAGGAACATTCCTTGTATTTACACTTTCTTTCAGAACTATCATTTAATGCTCTAGACCAGTGGTTCTCAACCGGGGTCTACAGGCAAAACACAATTGTTGTGTTAATTAAAAATAGTAATAATAATTATTATTATAATTATAGTAGAATATTTTATTTGTATTAAATTAGTTTTCATTTAAAAATAAAGCTTAATCGTATACTATTTCTTTGATAATTAAAACCTTAAAATTTATATTAGTGAAGAATAGAAAATTGTTCTTATGTCCAATAGCTATGAAGGGGTCCACCATAGATAAAAAGAAGGGGAAAGGGGTCCATGGGTAAAAAAAGTTTGAGAACCACTGCTCTAGACTAAAATTTCCTGAAAGAATAAAATTTCATATCTTATATGTTCATTATTTTGCTTGGCAATTTCTTTCAAACAGTTCAACACAATAAATTCTTATTTGCTAACTTACGATATCTTCTCAATCTCAAAGGCTACCAACAAAAAAAAAAAAAAAACAAGTACCAAAAGGCCATATATAAATTATGAGCTACCATTTGACCACTCCTGGCATAGATAATGTGCAGCTAAATTATTATTGATTTGCTTTTTATCGTTTATCAACCTTTTGCAGGTTATTAAAAACCAGAAAATAGTTTTATATTCTGAGTGTATGATGAGATAATGGTTTTTATTAACACAAGTTCCACTAATTAACCCATAGCTGGGAGAGAGGAGGTGGACTCATACCTTTCCCAAGAATATTTGCATTTAAGTGAATATGAACCAAACTGGAATTGAAACTCTGCTCTCTGATTTCTAATTCCAAGCTGTTATTCATTACACCACCTGCTCATTCAAGCTTACAACACCTGATATTTTCATGCAGCCACCCATCTAGATACTGACCTGGCTTGACATTGCTTAACTTTGGTGATCATACAAGAAATGGTGTTTCAATGTGATATGGCCATAAGTGTTAAAGTATTAGGTATGGTGTAAATAATGGTTTCAAAATCACATTGCAGACTTACTTTGCAAAAAAGAATAGACATGACGAAGAAATCTAAAAGGAATGTTTCAGTCGCTGCCTTGTAGTCATACTTGAAGAACAAAACGGTGAAAGCCAGGATCATGTGTTGTTTGAGGGTATCAGAGAAGGAAAATCTCAGCAGCTTGAGTCCACACACGACCACAATCACCGAACCAAAACTGGAAAAAAAAAAAAAAAAAAAAAATTCATTTTGATATAATTTTAAATATTTATAAATATTTTGTACTTGTTTTAAGAATACCTAAATCATTATCAGTACAATATACATGACAGAATTTGAAAACTTCTATGTTGCTTTAAACCAGTGTTTCTCGTCCTGGGTAAAACGATAAACTACATCCATGTCCTGGGTAAGACGATAAACTACATTCATGTCATGGGTAAGACGATAAACTACATCCATGTCCTGGGTAAGACGATAAACTACATCCAACAGCAAGGCCTCTGATCAGGAGGTTTTGCAGAGCATGGAACCACCCTAATTAATTCCCAGGTGTTTGACCCGGTGGTAGCACCTGTTAGGGTACCAACTTTGGGCAAATAGTTAACCCCCAAATTTGAGTCAAAACACTATGAAAGTGTAAAAATAGGTCTTAATACCAGAAATATTTTGTAAAAGAAAAAAAATTATTACCATCAATACATTATTATCAGCAATACATTTTAGGCAAAGATTTTTTACCAGCAATCCTTTTTTGAAAAAAATATTATCAGAAAGATTTTTTTTGAAGGAAAAATATTACTAGCAATACATGTTTGAAAAAAAATATTACCAGCAATAAAAATTTTGTCGGCATTAAATAACCCATTGAGGTTGATATGCCGTAAAACAAACCAAACCAAAATTAAACCAGTGTTTCCCAAAGTGGGCAATAGTGCTCCCTTGTAGGCTCTGTTATGTTGAAAGGGGGACACTAGGAGTTTTTTTTATTTCATTTGTGGGTGGTGAACATACTCAGGTGGCGGTGGGCATGTATCCATTTTTTCAGAAATTATCTAATATTGGCTACAAAAGGAAATAACTGAAAGTACTGTGGAAAGCAATCATACTTTTCTTCATTGCTTTTCCAACTTCCTATATGACTGAAGGTGGTTTCAACAGTTATAGAACTTCTTACTAAACAAAGAAACCGCCTGCAAATTATAAAACAAGGTGATTTACGATTACTTCCAAGAATCATGGAAACCTAGAGTAGTCAACCATAGCATTAAAAACACTGAGATAAGCTATCAAATAAAAGTTTCTTTTTTTTTTTTTTTATCTATCCTACATATTCTCATAATATGCATCTATTGCTCTCTTCCAGTATTCCTTTATAACAACCTAAATTAGTAATGTATTTGCACACTGAGACACCTGTTGATATGTACATGTATATGTTTTTATATGGAAAAAGAAGCATACCAGGTTTTTTTTTTTTTTTTTGAGTGTGGAGATGTACAATTAGATAGGTACTTATATGTTTTGCCATAAATATGAAAGATCGGGTAATATTATATGTGTAAAGATATAGATAATGTAATTAAATACTAAGATAGTCTTCAAATGCAGGCATAAGTGGATGCATGGGTGGACATGAGGATAGGGGTAAATACGTGTGTAGATATATGTAAGTGCAAATTAACGCATATGTGGGTATGTAGATACGCTGCATGTTGCGTATGCATATGAATGTATGTGTGTATGTATGTGTGTGTGTATGCATGTATATGTGTATACATATAGGTGTGTAAATATATATGTGCGTATGAATATATATAGATATACAGATGTCCTTGTGTGTATATGTATATATGTAAGTATAAGTATATATGGAGATAGGTATGGAGACATGTGGATGTGCGTTTTCTCTGCAGGTGTATATGTGTAAAGATGGAAATATACATATGGTCGTTTCATGTGAATGTGTGTGTAGGTGTATATAGGAACTCATAGACATATAAGAAGATATAGGTATGTGGTTACAAATAGGGGTTTGAGACATGTGTAGATAAAAAATTGTAAAGAAGGACCTAATTTTCTGCTAGTGACATCTCTTCCAAATATCTCCTCTAATATTCTCCAATTGGAAGTGAATTTTAAATAGCATGAAGGGAAAGTTTAGATTGGTATTTTAATTGAGATTGAAAGATACTACCCCAGTGTGGAGAATAAAATTATTTAAATGGGAATAACCGTTGATAATTGGGTACATAAAAACAATCACGAGTTTACTTAATGAACAAAAATCAAACGAATAGATGTCAACCTAACAAGCTATAAGATAAAAGTTTTAGGAAAAAAAAAAAATTACTAAATATAAAATGGATTGCTCTTTCAATGTTCTGTCTATGGATTCTTCCAATCGACTGTTTGATAGAAAATACCCAAAACTCCACTGAATTTCAAATTAATTTCTTCGTAGATTGTTTTAACATTTAGATATTTATCAAACCTTAACCTCCCAAATATGCACGTTAAAGTAATGTGAACTGACAGCGTCTAAGAATTTGAATGAAACATGTTTTGTAATTTATTGGGGTTGTTGTAACTTCTTTCTTTAATGTCGTTCTTATCATTCACCCCTTAGCCACCTATATCTAAAGACGAGACACGTTAAATTTGAGCAACATCTAGCCGACACACTGGGGTTAAAATAGGAAACTAAAATGATACATATGACACACTCATATCCTCTCTCCCACCTCACTTCCTCAACTTTACGTATACTTGATGAGGTCTGTAAAAAACGTGTGAATTTCTTTTCATTTTAGCTTTTGGAAGTAAAGTCTGATGATCCAGAACCCTGTTAAAGGGGTTATGGTGAAATAGCTTATTACATGGAATCTTAACGTGGTCTGTCTTTTATTCAAACATATCTGCTCTGAATTTTACATTGAGCTCTCTGGATATCATCCTCCTCAGGTCTACCCATACAGATTACCTAAATTTACATAAACTCATATATATATATATATTTGATTTAAAGACAGGTTTCTCCCCACTGTGTTGAACCAGATCATAAAATTTGATTATTTATTGTTCGGGAGTAAAGTCACACGTGTCAGGAATGATGATCATGTGACTGAATTTATAAAAGTGATGATTCTCTAAGAATTACTTAGATGTCATAAGGATGATGGTATGGGGTACCCAGAGAGGAGCAAATTCACTACTAAGTCGTAATTGTTCTAGCAAGACAAGCTTGCTAACCATTACACCAGTATTTCCCAAAGTGGGCGATTGTGCCCCCTTGTGGGCTCTGTTATGATGAAAGTGGGCATTGGGAGGTTTTATTTCATTTGGGGGGGCAGTGGGTATTTAATATTTCATTTGGGGGGGGCAGTGGGTATTTAACAGTTTTTTTTGGGGGGTTCAAATTTTCAAAAATTATTCAATAGTGGCTACAAAAGGAAATTTCTGAAAGGTATCTAAAGCTGTTGGAAGCTATCAAACTTTTTTTTATTGCTTTTCCAACTTCCTATATGGTTGAATATGGTTTTAACACACTTACACAGCTTCTTACTAAACAAAGACGATTACTTCCAAGAAGCATGGAACCTAGAGTAAGAGCCTTAGACAGTAAGCACCAATGTCAAACATCACATTGAAAAGATTGAGATAAGTTTTTTTAGGATTTTAATCACTGGCATTTTTAATAGAAATGAAAACCATATTAAAGTTATTTTTGCACTAATACCTAAGTGTTATCTTGCTATGAAAGATGAATTCAATATAATATTCAAAATTTAATTTGATGAGGGGGATATTGACAAAAAGTTTGAGCCCAAAGGGGGCACTGGTTGAGAAAAGGTTGGAAAATGCTGGTTTAAACTAAATCCTGTATTAAAACTATTCATTGCCTCACATATTAAATTAATGCCCAAGTTTCCCACATTTTGGGATACTCTTATGACCTTAATGGGTTACAGGTCTCATGATCATGAAATTATAGAATTTTTTTTTTTATTTTATCTTTTTATCATATAAATTCATAGCATTATTATTAAGTCATCAAAGTATTCTCCTTCGCTTTCGATGCCACCTTTCAGCTAAATATTCTGTTTCAGTATATAGATTTGATTGATTCGTTTTCTATGGCTTATCAAATTTTTGCAAGTTATTAAAAGCCCAAAATTATTTTTAGAGTGTAAGATTATTTTTTTTTGAGATAATGATTTAGTGATACAAGTCTTACAAATCAATCCATAGCTGGGGGAGTAGAAGAGGAGTCATACCTTATCAGAATTTCATAAACAAAAAATTATAATGTGGATATAAAGTGGGGAATCAATTCTATATTACAATCGATGCATAAACTGATCGCTCACATTGTGGCCACAGTAAACAGGATTAATTTGTTTTGCCAATATATAAACCTCTGTGGGTCATTTAATGCTGAAACTGGATTTTTATTCAGGAAAGTTCCAAAACAACCCTAAACAGGAAACAAGGGATAAACTTCTACTCCTGTTCGAAAGACCAGGGAGGAGTGTAAACCAAACAATAGGTGAAGCAATCTATTCCTATTGAGGAAAAACAAAAAAAAAATAAAAAGTAAATAGAATTTCAGAGGATAGGTCAAGGCATTAGAAGAACAAAGTTGTATTACATAGAATAAATCTTAGTCAATGTTCACGGACTACACAAGCAATAAAACTGAGACTGAAATGGAAATCTTTAGGTCCTAAGCTACAAATTTTTCAAACTAAGCTCTGTTGGCTGGTGATAGAGGCACAATGAAGTAATGGATAGCAGCTCAGATTGAGAAATCAGAGAGCCAAGTTCAAATTCCAATCAAATTCATCAAATTCACTTACACACGAATAACCTTGGGAAACATATGAATTCATCTCTTTTCTCCCCAGTAATGGGTAAATAGCAAGACAGACTGGGTCTCATAGCCTTGGTTGTTGACTAGTCTAAGAGAAGGAAAACTGAATTCAAACCAGCCTGTACAGGACTGGGCTCCATTAGGCTATCTTGCCAAAGACACAGCCCATGTACTGCAGCTAAAGTACATGTGGTGCTCCTATAACCCTAATGGGTTACAGCTCTCATGATCATGAAAGGATAGAATGTTTTTTTTTTTTTTTTAATCCAATATCATAAACACTGAAAAGTTTGCAAACAATTTTACAGACATTACAATTTTCAGTCTAACTTCTCTGAAAGGTTTTTTTTTTTTTTTTTTCCATTATCCTTATGAGACTGTCAGTTACTCATCCTTCAGTTGGTATTAGGTTGGTGCAAAAATAATGACGTAATAATGTCGTTTTTTGACATATTTTTTAATGTCGAAAAACGACATTCTTACGTCATTATCTTTGCACCAACCTAATATTAAAAAAAAAAAAGAAAAAAGAAAGTTATTTTTTTTAACCCTTGAAAAAGTAAATAAAATATAGTAATTAAAATAAACAAAAATTCAAATACATACTGAAGACCAAATTTTTTCACTATGGCTGGGGCGGATAGTGTTAAGGCACAGAGAAAGACGACTGGGTATATAATGTTCCTCTCGATAAACCGTAACCATATGTACAACTTCTCAAAACACATAACTGGGGCCGGCTCTGGAAAATAAATAAGAAACAAAAGAAAATCATTTTTTTTTTCTTTTAACACCAAACAATTTCAAATTTAATAATTAACCAATTTTTCCCCCTCTTTTAACAAGCAAAATTTAATTGTCCTTTCACTTTCAGTTAAAATAATTTTGATTCAACACAAAACTTGCACAATGGTTTGGTGTGCTTTGTTTTTTATGGCAAGTCAACTTTTTCCAGATTTATTTAATACCAAATTTATATGATTTAGCTATGGTCTATATTTTTCAACTGTCAGTATTGTTATTTATCAGAAAAAAATTAAATTTAATACAATGATGAGAAAGGAGGTGGGGGCAAAAAAGAAAAAAAAGAATAAGCAAATTGAAAAAAAAAAAAAAAAAAAAAAAAAATTCCATACCATCAGCTTCCAAGTGCTTCTCTTTATAACTTGGAAGGATGGGATCATAGCAACACAACCATGGCATCTCCTTACGCAGTTGCGGGATGATGTAGTGGATGATGAAGCCAACAATTGCAGCCAAGTAACACAGCACATCACTGAGGTACGGCTAAAAAATATAGCATTATTTTTAAGTGCACAGACGAGAAAAGAGGCGAGACAGAGAGAACGGATGGCAGGAGAAAGAGGTGAGACAGAGAGAGCGGATGGCGGGAGAAAGAGGCGAGAGAGAAAGGAATAAAAATAAAAGTTAGCAATGTACAATTTCAAATGACAATCAACTTTCCAAATTATTGTAAGCCAATAAATGATTCAAGGGGCATAACTTCGTTTGGTTGTCATTTTAACTTTTCAACAACATCCGGGAACATCTACCAAAAATTTATTAGTGGACCTAATAGATGTCCCTGTTTGTCTGCGTCATCAGCTTGACCTGTTATTACAAACTGTTATTAAAAATCAAACGGGGAATGTAAATCTAATTTTAATATGGCTTCCCACCTCAAAACAATTTTTAGTAAGTTTGTTACAAAGACCAATGTTAATCTTTATTTCAACTCTTCCCCTCATAACTTCATCCTTTTGTCAGTCTAAACAACGATTAATACAGTTTTCCAAGCTATCATTGATTTAGGTACTGATCAGACTTGACAATGCTTAAATGATCCTACATGAACCAGTGTTTCAATGTGATGCAGCTATAAGCTAGCTGTTGGGTTAAGTGTATCATAATGTAACTATCTGTAATCAGGCAAAAATCAGTTATCAGGCACCCAACAGGTTTTGATAATGCTAAATTAATGATAGCCAACCTGAAGGTAAAAAAATACAATGAATTCAGTATAATGGAATATAACTGGTGCATAGTGTTCCAAACGAGACCTGGATTTGAATCACACTCACAATTTATCAAGGTCACTTGATTGATATTGTTGTTCTGGTGAATTGATCCCAGTATGTGAGACTATTGGGAAGTGCCTGAAAACCATACTACAGGTTGATCCAGGCCTTGTGAGTGAAAGTGGGTAGACAGAATTGTTTGAAAGCCATCACAGAGTCATCATGATTGAGTGATTGACCAAAATTTACAAATTTCATCATACAAGATTACATGCTCACTCCCAGAAACTGTAACTAAGGTCTGTTCAATATAGATGAAGCATAGACCATAGGTTAACTCTGTAGGGATGTTGAAGAAACACAATGTGCCTGAGCTAGTGTCTGCAACAGGGATTAGGTCGCTAGTCTTAACCGCATAATTGAAAACAAGGGGGGCAGCAATTGTAATGGAAGAGCAAAATAAATCAAAGAAAGAAATTGAAAAATAAAGAAAAAAAAAAGATTGAGTGTGGAGAAAATGAAATGGAATGAGTGATTGATTCTTACCTGCAAGACAGGACTGCTGAAGACAGTGCTAACATGAACTGCAAACATGATGACTGCAAATAATATACACACTAAAAGATCAGACTGTAACCGGTCACTCTGAAAGTAGAAAGTCATATTGTTATGGACAAGATATAAACTAATGAATCCATTTCAACATACCAAATAAAACATTATATAAGCAAAAGACCTATATGAAGGAGTTTCAAAAACTATTACACTCAAGCTCTCTGGCCTTCCCCTTGTGCAAGCAGGTTACTTTTCCTTTGGGATGGGGTTGGGTTAGAGTGTCTGAAAAAGGGTAAATACTGAGGATTTTTCTACGGTATCGCCATTAAACCCACTTTAAACCGTGACCTTCAATAGTGATATGGGCACTCTGGTATATACCAAAACCAAATAAAACCACAATATTTTGTTTTATCATTTCATCATAAGCAAGACAATAAAGCCACAAGGGATTTTTGAAAGTGAAAAAAACTGAGAAAACATTGAGGAAAAAGGACAATAAAATAGCAGAATTAAAGGAGACAGAAGATGACAACTGATGTTGCATTTAAATTTTCGATGATTGAAGTTATAGGAGAAGCAAAAGTTACATAGGAATGAAGTGTAAGAGAAGAAACTGTTAGTGGGGAAATTAAAGTTAAACTTAACAATTTCAACAGTAAAAAGATGAGACCTACCTAGCTGAAAATCTAGTACTGCATGTAAAGTCATGAAATCAAGGTATAAAAGAGGAAAACTCATTAGAACAATTGCCATTAAAGTATAGAAAAGGCACAGCCGATTTTCCATTTCAGAATAATCATCAAATTCTACTTAAGAGCATTTAAAATTTTCAGCCCTCGATATTTACATGAAGAGGAAAAATACATTGAAAATACTTTCAAGCTCTTCTAATACCCTATTTCATATTCAATGCAAAACAAAAGGCTCATAAAATATTCCAAAATAAAAATTAAAAAAATGGCCCTCCCTGTCAAACACAAGAAATCAAAAAACTATTGTTCTATACACTATCACAACTACAATTTAAAAGAATATTTGTCACAGCTACGTCTAAAATAATGAAAGACTTAAAACAAAATAAAACAATAAGCAAAAACTTGAAGAAATTCACTCTATGACCTGTAAGAATTACCTCAAGGAATAAATAAATAATCCACATCCAGATTCTTACATTCTGGGTAGATCGTCTATTATTACAATGTGGGATATTTAATAACAAAAGTGCTGGCAAACACAAAGGAAAAGAATCTAAATAAAATCGATTAGATTATATACTCAAAATATATATTAAAAAAAAAAAATCTTCAAATTTAAAATTCCCAGCATTGCTTATTCATGCACATGTGTAGATTCATAAACACAGTCTGTGGAAGTTCTAAAGGACGAAAACCACCAACTCTATCACAACTACAATTGAAAAACAGTTATATAAGTTTAACATAAAATTTGTTAAAACTACTTATAAAACAAAAAAACTTAATACAAAACAAAATGATAATAAGCAAAAACATAGAGGAATTTATTCTATTACCTGTAATAAATGCCACAAGGAATACAGGACAACAACACTCAGAAAACAGTCTGCCTGCCTTATGTGAAGGGGTTATGAGAGAAAATACAAAGGATCTGTGGTCCACATAACATCAGGACAACCTTCAAAAGCTGGATGACATTTCGCAGATATCTCTCCTGAGTAAGACCCCCCGCCATAGAGGAGAACATGACTAAAGACTGTGCAGCTGTGAGAAGAAATATAAAGGGGAGACAGGTCACCTCCCCCCTTAAGGCAAGGCTTAAAGAACACCAGTAAGCTGTAACACGAGGGGAAGTGAAAAAATCAGGCGTGGCTGACCACATATGGAGAGAAAAGGGAGATCACTGCCCTCTGTGGGATCAGATTGAAATCATAGACAAAGAACACCATTGGAAAATTCATAAACTTAAGGAATCAGCACATATGCTAGGCCACAAAAATCTCCTGAGCCAACCAAGCATAGAAATGAATACAATATGGGAACCAGTAATAAGGAGTGCCAGAGAAAAGTGATAATAACAACAAAAATTGCAATATGATCTCTGGTAAAAACATGAAATGATAACAGCAAAAACTGCAATATAAGCAATGGTAAAAAAAATGGTTGCTGAAGACATTAGAAGTTCATACACAGATGTCCTCAAGGACACATGGCACAGTGGATAAAGGCATTGGTTAGATCCTGTAACAGGACCCAAAGAGTGTGTGTTCAATACCCGGTTAAGGCAGTGGAGAACTTGGAGAGGGGAATTAACAGGAGATAACTGACCTCCATTAAACATGGCACGTGGAACTAGAACAGTCTATCCCGGTGAGCGACATTCCAACCACCTGAAGAAGGCCAGAGCATACAATGGCCAATACGTAATAAGCATTGCAACAAAGAAGAGGACAATAGTTCGTATAATTTTAATTTTTATTGTTCCACTGGACTTTAACGTTAACACAGTACATGAAAATTTGGACTAATAGCCTGAAACAGGTGTAGTCTTTTTCAAAATAATAAGTATATTTTTTATTATATATACTCGTTTCTTCCTTGCATTTATGTCAAACTATGTGACAGCAGCAAATCAACTTGCATCTATTTATGTCTTTACCATCAAATCATGTAACACATATAGTCTCTTCAACTTTCAAGTAGTTGTTTATAAAAATGTTCTAATGTAGTGTAGTGAATTGTATAAATTTATGTTGTGTAATGCATATGTAAATTTATTTAATATTGTTGTTATAATGTTGTTGCAACCTAGAAAAGGTTACTGAATGAGGAATAATCAAAATGGAGGTTGGAAATAGAATGGCAATCTTTATAACATCAACAAAATTCAATACTCGCCAGTGGCATGAAGTAGTTAAACCACTGCTAGGGGTGGACGACTTATACAGCATATTACCTAACCTACAATAGTGAGGAATGTATTTATGAGGATTGGGACATACCCATTAGTGTTTATAGGTATGGTATATAACAAATGTATTATGAATGTTTATTATTTTTCACACACATAATAGTTGGAATATAATATACGAGTGTTTGTTTATATACACAGATTGATATAAGAATCGAAAACAAATACTGAATTTCCTATTAAAAATGTCATAAAAAAAAAAAACAGAAAAACCGCCTAAGCTCAAGAATCATTTGCCAAAGGTGGTTCAAGGTACAATATGGTCTTAAATTGATTGGGGTATTATGTACCATTCAAGCTGTATCTCTCGAATACACATACATACATACAATATTAAAGGTTTAGTATTATATTTATTTATATATATATATATGTGTGTGTGTGTGTGTGTGTGTGTGTGTGTGTGTGTGTGTGTGTGTGTGTAAATTATTTTCAGATAGAGTGAATCTGTGAAAGAACAAAATGAATAAAAAGATAAAAGGAAAAATTATTCATAGCAGACACGTTTCATCCTCTGTAGGACTTTATCAACGCTAATATAAGGATTTATTTTCTTGCACATGTTTACATACAAGAAAAAGGATGTCATTGGTTTGACTTATCAAACTTTGAATTATGGCACTTTGTGTCCTTCACACGTTTAGACAGATCTTTCATCCAGCTGATGAATATCCATGAACAATCTCAAATTTAAAAACTTTGATAAACCAATGACAACCTTGCTCTTGTACATAAACACATGGAATAAAATAAAACCTTACCTTTACCTTGATAAAGTCCCTCAGAGGACGAAATGTGTCAGCTAGGGTAAGAATAAATTTTAATCTTGTGTTTGTGTGTGTGTCTGTATAAAATTTTCATCTGAAATTCTAATTTTATCATTTTGTAATCAGTTATTATATAAGTTTATCAGAATCTGGTTAGGTGTTAGTCCTGTCTATTCGATTTCTGTTCTTTTATTGTCCTTTGTTCTCAATGAAGTCTTCTCAGTTTCTTTCACTCCCAGTAATTCCTGGCATCTTAGTGACATTATCACCTTATTTGGGGTGAAATGATTTAAAATTTAAAAAAAAAAAAAAAAAAAAAATGTCTAAAACTTTTTTTTTTTTTTTCACATTTTCATTATTTTTACACTAGTTTTTCTTTTTTTTAGTCTTTTTATTACAATTGTCATGTTTTTATATTATGTGAGCAGGATAGTGTACTGGCAAGTGGTCAGATATCAGAGTTCAATGTATTAGAGAATAAAAGAATCTTATCAAATCAAACTGGGCACAGCATTGCACCTGTGAGTCAGGATAATTTTGACAACTTTTAGACTTACCACGCATTTTTTGAGTTTATCTGGCAAGGGGTCAATAAGTTCATTTTCCCCTGGTTCTTCTGGTTGGTTAGCACTTTTTCCACAAATCAAATCTTTTATGAGGGAACTGGAAAAAAAAAATTATTTCAGGTATAATTAACTCTCAAATAAATAATGCTTTCCTTCAAGCATTTAACTGACCTCATCTTGCATTTATTTAGTTTTCTTTTTCTTTTTTGTCCTATTAATAATACTTAAAAAAAATGCATATTAAGAAAGTGAAGAGAGAAACACAAAATGGCCATGTTTAACATATGTTCCTGAAAAAAAGCAAACATTGTGTCAAAAAGTTGGGGTTTTTCTCTTCAACCCAACACCACTGTATATTCCATCAGCAATTTTTATTGTTTTAAAAAATTAATTTTTAAAATTTTAATAAAACCTAAAATTATGAAACAGGATTTATGCATTCTCTTTTTATCTCAAAAATTGACAACAAAAAGATTAAACAATTAATAATTTTATTAGATTGTTTATTTACAAGAATAATTTTATATTGACAAGAAAATAAAAATGTCAACCAACTATGATGCAACATTTTTTATTTTTTTTTTTTTAAGCATCTCACACCCCAAGCAAGGCAGAATGCCACTAGCATGCAAGGGGTTAGAGAGAATGATAGCAAGAGTGTTGTAACCTAGGGAAGGTCACTAAATAGATTAATCACACAAAGACTGGTAATGAACAATAATACTTAGGACAAGAACAACACATATAAGATTTGCCAGCAGTGCATGGAAGAAGTAGTCAACTGCTAAAAGTGAATCAAGTAAATTACACAATGAATATCCAACTGCAGACCAACATACAGTATTTACTACAGTACTTATATGAATGGGGACATACCCATTATCGTCCAGAGGTATGTTACAACAAAAAGTAAAAAGGGGTGTTTGAAGAAAAAGTATAGAGAGGAATGGGGATCAGCATCAAGGCAACAGAAGATGTCGATTGACATTACACTTGAATATTATAGCTATCAGGGAAGTAAGTAAGGGGAAGGGCATTCCACTGTCAGGAAGTGCAAGAGAAGAAGCTGTTCAAATAGAAGAGGTGGTTACAATATCTATGAAAATCAAATCAAACTTATTTTTTTATAACTTTATAAAAATGTCTGATCAAGAAAATTTAAATAAACACAACTACCAGTAACTAATTTTACATTTTGAAAAAATGCATTTTCCAGTCATTTCTTTTATTTGTACTCACCACATAAATTCAATAAAATCATTTATGAGCATTTTAATTCAGACATTTTTTTTTTCTCAAGAACTAACAACAAAACATGTTAAACATTATTTATTCATTCATTCCACTGATTATTTTCAAAAAAAAAAGTTTAATACTTTTGTTGTCATTTCTCAAGACAAAAAAAAATAAGATAGCTGATCAAAAAATGTTGGGACTGGTGCTATAAAAAAAAAAACTACAACACATATCAATTCGACATTTAATCTCCTTTGAAGTAATCATCTACTGAAGCCACACACTTTATCCAGCATTATTTCTATTGATGAAAGTATTTCTGGAACTCATTTGTTAGATATAGAGCAGCTGCTTTGTCACATTCTCTCAGATTTCAATGTCTTGAAAGCGTGTTCTTTTTAAGTGGGAATTGATTTTTGAAAAGGAATTGTTACAAGGCATGATATCTGGGGAATATGTTGTTTGTTAGACATGGGACATGTTGTTCTTGGCCAAAAACTGCTTCACAGGCCATGGTCATTGACGGAACCTGTGTGGTACAATGAGACAACTACACTCTACACACTTTCCTTCCAAGCATTGCTATAAACAACAGAAATGAGCGAGGAAGTCATAACTTGGTGTGTATGCGTGATAGAATTCAAGGTCAATCTTTGCAAAGTGGCTTTACACTGCATACTTTAGCTCCATTACCATGGCAACAGTTCTAGTACTTTCTGATCAGATCTCATTTATCTAGTTATGTATGTTTGGGGTTTATTAAAATTCTAAAAATAGTTTTTTAAAACAATAAAATTTACCGAGGGTGTATATAGTAAAAGTGTTGAGAGAAAAATGTCCTTGAGTTTTATTTTTCTTTCCTTTTTTTTTTTTTTTTTTTTAGAAGGTAAACAAAATGTACTTATCTATAATTGCCTTTTTAAATTTTATTTCATTGTAACACAATTGTCTGAATGTAGCAGTAAAAGAGTAAACTTAAGTTTAAGAAACAAAATAGTCAGTGTTGGTATTCAAATCCAAAGTCAGTCACAACTCAAGAGGATTTAGTATTAAAAGTCATGAGAGCTCATTCTGGTAGATCTCATGTTAATATGGATAACTCTGAATAAAAAGACAAAAACATTGGCAAAGTTTGTTTTCATTCAAAAAAAAAAAAAAAAAAAAAAAAAAAACATTCTTAGATTTAAATTTTTTTTAAAAGGGGATGATAATGATTTGCTAATACAAATCCTACTATTTAACCCATATGTGGTGGGAGAAGAGGTGAATTTGTAGCTTTCCACTGTTGCATGTAAGTGAATATAACAATTCTGACTGGAATTGAACTCAGCTCTCCAATTTTCAATTCCAAGCTGTTATCTATTAAACCACTCATACACCCATGCTTACAGTAGCTGGCATTCGTAAGCAATCACCCATCTAGGTACCAGGTTTAACATTGCTTAACTTTGGTAACTGTAAGTCCCCGAATTTGTGAGTGAGGATATTAGCACATAAAGTTGAATTAGCAACCAGAGTTCAAATTCCATTGACAGTCACATTCACTTAGGGAGTAATGGCCTTGAAAAGATACAAATCTGCCTCCACTCTCACTAAATAAAATAGCAGGGTAGACAGAGATTGCCTTGAGTGGCAATCAGTCTAGGAGAAAGAAAATTTAGAGTGAAGTAAATGCAGACTGAAGTTAATGTCTTTCCAAAGAAGTCAAGGAAATTCACACATAATGAAGAGAAATCTGTCATGACTGCCTACATCCAGAAGGGTTATCATATTATATTTCATATTGCTTGGACAGCTACTCGAGCTTCATGCTAAATCAATCATCAGGTGACCAGAACTTGTCTTGCTAATTTATACATAAAGCACTGTATATTACTTTCTGTCTTTTGCTCTTTTATTCTTTTCTTTTTCCCCCCTTTTTCTTCTATTGTTTTTTTTCTCCTGGTTTTTGTTTTATTTGTTTTCTGTTTATTAGTTTTTTTTTTCTTTGTTCACCTGGCAGACTTTGTTTTGCTTATGCCAATGCTCTGTGTTTTTATATATATATATATATATATATATATATATATATATATATATAAAAACACACACAGACCTTAGTGAAGGTATCAATCCATTCCTTCATCTGTTAGCTATGGGTTAAATAATAGGACAGACTGGTTCTTTAGCCTTGGTTGGCAACCGGTCTAGAAGGCCAACTTTGAATTCAAAACCTGTTGTGGGCTGTTTGGGGATCTTGCAACACACTATGTGCACCAGTAAATAAACTATGAAAATAAGTTTTCTGAGACAAGTAGTGTAGTTTGAGACCAATAGCATAACAATTCAATTTATGCAAGCAATAAAATAAATAGACAGATCTGCCCAAGACTACAATGTGAGATGAGATTTAGATACATGGTTTGAAAAGAGCCTTGTCATCAAATTTATCTGAGAAAAATAAATTGTGAATAAATAATAAATTTGCTGCCTGGCAGTAAAGTCTATCTACATCTCTTTGCTTGGCATCCCATTTGTTGCCTGGCACTTAAGCCCTTCTTCATCACTTTGCTTGCAACTGTAAAACAAACATCTTTAGCAGATTAAACATACCCAACTTTCAAAAAGCAGTATTTTTTTTTTAAATCACCAACAAAACACCGAAAAGTGACAAAATAAAATCCAAAGATACTACAAGAAACTACAAGTACAAGTATCCCAGAATAACTTTGTGGCACATGTAAACCATCTTTCCATTATCCTAGTGGACCTATAAAGATAGCAGTTATAACTTTTCTAAAGGCCAACAGAGTTCAAAGAATATCTTCCATATTCTCTCCCTTGCTTTTACCTTTCTTCACTATCTACGTTAGTTTTTGATTTTTTTTTCCTCAAACTTTTGTTCATTTCCATTACTAAACACCCACTATATTTGGACCTTTTTTTCATTACAATCACCTACCCAGTCTCAATCATCTCTCACTTCTTCAGCATCACATCATGCTTTATACAGTACAACAACATCCATCGATCCATTCTCCATGTCAGCTATCTACCAATTCTCAGTTATATCCCACTTTTTCAATACCACATTAGATATGCTGCACCCTTTTCATTATATCAGCTAGCCATACATAACTTTCATTGCCGCATCAGTTACCCACTCACTCTTTGCCAGTCCTGTATCCGCTATCCACCTTTATTTGGCATCAACATTTGCCATCTGCTGTCTCCATAGTTATATCAGACACTAACGTTTTCCCTCTTGACAGTTGTAAGAAAATTTGCAATCAGTCTTAAATGTTTTTCTATCACATTAAAATAAAAGAAAACTTACAACAGAACGCCTGGATCACTGGCCGACCTGCTCAGATGGTAAGAAATAGCCACCAGCAGAGCACAAAATATTGAAAACATAACATGTTGAGAGTTCTCCTTTTGCTGTAATTGAAAAAGAAAAAAAAACTTATTAAAACAAAAAAAAAGGGGGAGAAAGAGGAGGGAGAAGGGGGGAGAAAAAGGGGGGAGATAAAGGAGTAAAGAAAGAAGAGAAAGAAAAGAGCAACAGATAGTTATCATTCAGAACTCACTGTACCCATCCCTACCTGAGCATGTAAATTAACCCATCTCCTTCTGCTTCATTTTAAACAGACACTTTCTTCCTCTCTCTCTCCATCTATCTAAACTATAATTATAAACTATAATTTTGGAAAGTGACATTTTAGCTGAAATCTGTTGGAAAATAGCAACTTAAAGCAAAATGGTCGCAATGGGAAGGTTTCAGTTTAAACTGATGCTAGGAGGATATGAGTTAAGCAGAAAATTTATCTACCTTTAAATGTCTTTATTCCTACAAATCAAAATAATTTTTGCATAAAACATACAAAGCCAGTTTTAATGCAAAATATATAGCGTTAATTAATTTTACCCCTGTCCATTTAATAAACTAATTCTTCTTCAGCCTCAAAACCATGTGTAACCCCAGAATCAGTTTCTAATGGTGGCTTTAAGATCACTTCCACTGTTTCCAAAGATGCAACTATCAATTTATTTACATGATGTATAGATTTTGGTTAATAATTCGAAGCTTGCAAATACAATGAATTAATACTGTATTTCCAGTCAAAATACATAGCTACAATTTAGCAAGAAATATTCAGGAAAAACTAAAACACATTCTAACATTTGTGTGTAATTATTATTCGTATTTGTAGTCATAATTTTATCACTTGAAATCTTATATCTTTTGTTCTGGAGACATCAAGAAACTCATGAGTCAAATACCAGAAGCATGTTGCCTTTGCAACAACAACCCTAGACTGACTTACCACTTGTGTTTGTGAAAACCCAAAGCTGATGACTCCTACAAAGATTGTAGTTTACAACACTGTTGTATGGCAGTGGAACATGAACAACATATGCCAAAAAAAGAGCAAAAGCTGAACAGTTTCCATGTGTGCTACCTTTGCCACATCTTCAGCATCAAGTAGAGCAGCAAAGTACCCAAAGCCCAGGAAATCAAATATGCTGGCCTACCCACCATGTACACACTGCTCTGAAAATGCAGGCTGCATTTGTTTGGTCATGTGCTCTGGATGGAAGCTGGGCATAATCTAAGTGACATCCTGTATGGCAAACTCGCCTCTAACAAGTTATCTGTTGGTCAATGCTGAGATACAAAGATGTTGGTAAGCATGATATTAAAGCTCTGGGCGTTAACGCAAAGAGCTGCAGCAGCAGACCACAACAGATTGTGCAGCATTCTCTGGAAAGAAGTTGGGAGGAGAGCAAGACATGAAATGTGCTGCTATGTAGACAACTCCATGACCAGACACAGCTCTTACAGAGCATCGATACAGCTTGACTCCAGGCCACATCATCCACAGTTGACAATAACTGACATATGCTTACTACCTTGCTTCTAAAGAGCAAAGAGCAAAAAAAAAGAGCAAAAAAAAAAAAAAAAAAAAAAAAAATGGAGGGTCATCCCATAATTTCTGAAGATATCAAAATAAGAAGTAATTAAAAATGTATTCCTAAATACATATGAAGTTGGGTAGAATGTGTTGAGATTTCTACAGTAAACAAAATAATTAATAAGCAAAGATCAGCAAAAATTAATTTTTGACATGTATTGTTTGCCATCATGAAATCTCCACAAACGGGGAACTTAGTAAAATAAAGTTGCAGGAAAGTTTCTTAATTCTACAAATTTTAAGAAGTATACACTATCCCATTTATTCAGGAGTTAAAAACAAAACCCAGATCAGGGTATAAAACACAAATAATTTTTAGAGTTTTTTTTTTTTTTTTTGTATAGTAGGAAATAGCATGCATTAGAGAGACAAAGAAAAATAGATTGCTTGTAGAGTTTCAAAATCTGTTGTGAAAGGGCAGGAGAAACTATTACCTGCATGGCATAATAACAGAAGAAGTAGAGGAGGGCCACGGCTATCACACTTCGCGTAACAGAGTAGACAGCAGCACCCAAACTGGTTGTGGCTGCAAAAAAAGAAATCAGAGATCAGCAAAAGCAAAGACAGCAAAGCATTATGCTAAAACTAACCATTTACATACAAGAAGCATCTGGTATTCAATAATTACGTCAGTTTAAATTTACCTTTTTTTTTTGCAAAATCAAACTTCTCAAGCCCACTAGGTTACAGTCACAAAACACCAGTGCTCCTACAGTCACTGGAGTTAAGCAACATCAAGCCTGGTCAGGACCTAGGTGGGTGACCACTTGGAAATATCAGATACTGTAAGCTTGGATGTACATGTGGTGTAATGAATAATGGCTCAGAACTGTTAATCAGAAATCCAATTCCTGTTGGATTCATTATAATTATTTACGTGCAGTTACCTTTGGGAAAAGTATGAATCCACCTATTTTTCCCCCTCAGTTATGGGTTAATTAGTAAGACTTGTATCACTAAGCCATTATTATCTTAATAAAAAAAAATGTACATCTTACAATCTAAAAATATTTTCTGGCTTTAAATAACCTACAAAGGTTTGATAAGCCATAGAAAACAATCAAGTTCACTAAACTTATCACTCTTTCTAGTATCAAGTTTCCTTTCTAACTTTTTGTTTAAGGTAGTGTGGAAAGTGAACATCTTGATTATGTCATCATATTACATTTGCTATCCATTTTAGTTGCTGATGCTGTTGGAATTCTTCAAGTGATGAGAGTTCTGCTTTTGTTATAATGTAGTTCAATGTCTGAGACCAGATGAAGACTTGTCATCTTTAAAATGTCAGTTGAAGCCATTTTTATTCATTGGTCTGAGAAAATGATTGTGTCTACAGCTTCTACTTTAAACATTTCTTAATGAGTAGGGTACCATAAGATTTGAGATCTGACAAAAGCTAATATGGCTAAAGCTTTGAGGTTAATGCATTGATTTTGTAGTGTCTTGCCGTTTGGGGAGAATTAACCCTTAGTGCAGCTGACTCAACATTCAATATCCTTATTTCTTATACTAAATTTGTTATAACTCATCTATACTTAGAGGTAATTGAAGTGTTTATATTTACAAAATTCTACATCCTGAATTTTTATGATGGATTCAGGGTATGTGCCATCAATGCTTTCATTCCAATTTGGGTTGTTTCGGAAACATTTCGCTTGAGCATGACTTCTTGGAACCCTTGGTAGTGAATGTTGATTTTTTTTGTTAAATATTATTCTTATAACAATTTATAAATAACTATGTTATCAGCATAGCTCCCTTGTCATCAATACCCTGTTTTGGAAACGTTTCTCATGTGTCCGACTTCTTGGAACCCTTGGAAGGGAATGTTGGGTCTTTTTTTTCCCCCAAGATCATTCTAATCCCAAGTATGAATGCCTAAGCTATCTCCACTAGTCACCAGTACACTGGCCTCTGGATGGAAAACAGGAATGCTATTTTCTATTAGTAGATTCATCTGGGATGTGACAGGAAAGGTTTAAATGATTAAGGTCCATAACTTCACATCTGTGTTTGTACAGTGCAGATCATTGTCTAAGAAGTGATTAAACAGATTGCGACTCTCAATATACAAAATCTCATAACATCATTTATTTTTATTTTTCTCACTTCACATTTTTTTCAACCCCTACTTGCTGAGAGGATTATTGAAAATGTTCTTATTTTTTACTTTAGTGAAAATATTAATCCCAACACACCAAGATACTTTTTGATCAGACCTCGTAATTTAGGAAAATATTGATTGTGAAAGTGCTTCAGAAAGATTGTCTACAGGACCGTGAGTTTGGACCCCCTGCCGTAAATAGGTGCAAATTCTGCCACTTACCATTGCCACCAAAGATATGCATATCTGTCTGTTCCAATATGTACATGATGAACGTCTTCACCTGGGGTAGCAGGCCTACTGTGAACAGCACCGGGAACAGCAAGATAAAAACTAAAAAGAGAAGAAAAAAAAAACAGATAAAATGAGCTTTGCAAAGATACAGATCACATGAGCAAACGTCTGAATTGATCAAAATTATTAAAGCACAAGATACTGTAATGTCTTTTTAACAGGCTTTGGATGGCCAATGCCATTTCAACGGTTAATGGCTCTGAACAAGAAAACAACAAGCTGAGTTCAAATTGCAGCCAAATTCATTGCCTTTTTTTTGTGTTTTGTTTAACAGTATATCAACACCTTTATGGGTTATTTAATGCCAAAATCTAAATAATTTGAACACAATTTTTTGACTTCAACTACAGATAAAATGCATTGCTGATTATGTATTTTCAGCCTTTTTATATAAAAACTAGCAGCATGACCCAGCGTTGCCCGTGCTTGATTCAAAAATCGTACGACTCATGCAGCAATCGCTATCACTTGACTTAAAATAATTTTGCCCTTTGCCGTGCTGATGTTGCTACATGTCTTACTTCTTGCCTATCTCACACTGCGAATTTTTTCTAAGCTCTATACTAAGCATTAAATCTGTTACGAAGAAAGAACTAAACAAAATGAACACAAAACAATCAGCTTTAAAAAAGGACTCATAACTGGAAAAACCGAATGAAATAGAATGTTAACACCTAACCCAGTTCTGCTGAATCAGAACCAATCTTGAGTTTAAGCAAGCAAATGAGCCAATTGGAGTAAAGTGCCATGCAGATATCAATTTTTTTTGCATGCTAGCATGCTAGTTAACATTCGTGTCAGTCAGCTGTTGGCTCTCACGCTGGCCAATAGAATCTTCCTGCCTATTCATGGTAGCCAGCTATAGGCTCTCACTCTGGCCAGTACAAAATGGCCGCAAACTACATGAAAACTGCTGTAGAAGCATGAAAAAAATTGATTATTTCCACTATCGATAGGAGTTGGGAAATGCAAAGTCAGTCTTGGCCTTCCCGCTAACTTGGAGCATGTGCATGTAAATTTTGGTGCAAATCCCTAAAATTATGCCATGCATTATATACACACACACACACACACACACACACACACACACACACACATCCTGCCTTTTATAGATAGAGATAGATTGCTGATATTTTTACACTTTCATAGTGTTTTGTTTTTGTTTGAGGGTTAATTATTTGGCCATAACAAGGAACCCTAACAGGTGCTACGACCCCAAGTCAGGGAGGAACCAGGGAACAACAACAATTAAGAGGTGATTCCATGTAACACAAAATCTTCCACTCAGAGACCTTGCTGCCAAATGTAGTTTATCGTCATACCCAGGACATTAAATTCATTGCATTCACTTTCACACAAATCCCCTTGGCAAAAGGTATGTATCCATCTTTTCTACCTACCTTAATAACAGGGTGGATTGGACTCTATCCATGACTCATAACCAGTCTTGGTGAGGGACATCTTTGAAGTCAAAGTTGTATGCAGCCCTGGTATAGTACATACCATACAGCCAAGATCATGGAGCTCACAATGACTATAATCTCAGGTGTGGTTGACCTATAAGTGTATCAATTTTTTTTTAAATGCCAGGGATCCTTTCAGGATACTGGCAACCATAGTTGTCATATCCTTAATTTCTGAATTGCCACTACTTTTTTGGGGATGGGTAGGAGAGTCAATTCCTGTTGCCTTCTGCACAACTTTAAACTTGTAGTTAGTCGGCCAAAATTAGAGATCTCAGTAGACACTACTATTTTACCTACAGCTAGTAGTAGACAAGATGGATTCATGCCTTTCCCCATGAGAATTAGTGGGAAGTTAATGTATTAGTCTCAGCTGGTATTTCAGTTTGGTCTGCCATTTCCATTCTCTTGCACTAATAACTGTTACACTTGACACACCAGTTTCCATTCAAAAAGGCATCTCTTGCAGAAAAGAGGGACAACTCTTAATATATATATATAACTACTTAAATGTTATTTTAAGTGGATACCCATATTTGAATAGACACTCCGTTTCTTCTGCCAAGGGAAACACAGATTCGAATCCTGCTAGAGAGTGCATATTTTTCTTTAACAAGATTTCTCAAATATTCAGGCTGGTAGATGAAAATAAATAAATATACTGTTTAATAAATAAACAGAGCATCTACTCAAATATGGATATCCACTAAAAATAAAGTTTAAGTAATAAAATCTGTTGGATTCATAAATAAAAATACATCACTTCTTTAGAAATAAAAACCCATGACTTTACATATTTATCAGTCACAGTGAATAGTGATGAGATATTCCATTGTTACAATAACAAGGCATAATTCTAGTTTCAATCGAACCAAACATGTCTAGTATCATAATAACAGAATATCTCACTGTAATATGTTACGACTAGGACATTAATACATTGCTTTTAATTTATTTTTCATATTAAGTTTCTTCGGATATTTTCTACTTTAAGTGATTTAAAAGTTGATTTCTTTCTTTATGTTCAACACTTTACAAAAACCTATAATCAAGGGAGGTAAATTTGAATTGCTTAATGGACTGTTTGATGTTAAATGGAATCAGATTTTTTAATAATCTGCAACAACAGAATTAGTCGAAATGCTATGTGTATGTATTTATCACTAATTCTCATTATGCTTCTGGTGATTATCTACACTATTGACATTATTCAGACTGTTGTCCTCATCTTTATTGTCAACGATGACAAGTCTATGTCCCGGTTTATCATGACATAAGAAAATAACTTACCCACCTCCACCTCTGACCATACTTTTCTATTTAGCATAGATTTGACATTTAATTGGTTAAATCAAGACATACTCAGAAGTCTATTTTTAATTCTGCCCTTATGGCCCCACCCTTTAACTTTTGGAAAAGAGGTAACACTTTGTTTTTAAATTTCCATAAAAATCATTTAATCACCAGTTACTTACCAACACCTGAAGAAATACAATTACAATATTGAAACATGAAAGCTTTTGTGTAGCGATTTCAAAATGTTTTTATTATAATCTCTTAGAATAAAAATACAATAATAATAATGTACTGCTCGACTTTGTATTGAGCACTTTTTTTAAAATGTAAATGCTATAACAGTGGATTTTTACTCCATCAGTTCTTTCATTTATATATATATATATATATATATATATATATATATATATACACACAGGTAAAATGAGAACAAATGGAGTATGATTCCACTGTACATAACATTTAAAAGAGCTAAAAATATATATATATATATATATATATATATATATATAAAAGTTTCAAATTAAAAATTATAAAAATTTTTTTATTTTATGAAAGCATTTATTTATTTATATATATATTTGATATTTCAAATTGTCCTCAATTTTTCATCAGAAATAACTGTTTGTTACAAATAAATTAAAATTACTGTTTGTTAGCAAGTAGCGTCCTTCGCGAGACGCGGACGTCACGTGATATGGAACGTCACTGTTCGGATATTCCTAACTTAAATCTAACTGTCATAAATATTTAAAAAAATTTTTTTTACTATATCTAAAAAATTGCTTAACTATTGAAATATTTATAAAGATTTAAAACACCTAAGTCCCTATTCAACCCTAGTTTATGTGTATTTAATTTTAAAATCCAATATGTTTCTTTTTTTCTGCGTGTGAATGTGGAAGTAAAATCGGAATTTATTAATAAACATTTGCAGTTTTCTAATGTGTGTCCTGATTGATTGTAGTGTTTAGCTATGGGGGAATAAGGGTTGTTTTGACGTATTGTTTGTTTATGGTTATTAAAACGAAATCTAAAATTATTTCCAGACTCACCAATATATCCACTATTAGGACATATACACACACACACACACACACACACACAGGATTTTCCCATCATTTTCGATGATTGAGGGTACAAGCAGTGCAATTTTTAAAATTAAACAGCTGGACTATATACACATGGTTTGATTATAGTGGTGAAGGCACAGAATCAAATACACTTTCCAGAAGAACCAAATACAGAGAATTTGTACATATATTGTGCCACAAAGTTTCCAAACAACCCTTCTCAGTTTTTCAATTCAGAGTTGTCCTTCTCCTAGATTGATTGCCAACCAAGTTTATAGGATCCAGTCTGTCCTGCTATTTACCCATATCTTACCCAATTTCAGCACTGTTTATTTTTTTTTTTTTTTGTTTGTTTTTTAGTGTCACCAAGTTCTTTCAAAACAAAACACAAACAAGAGACCATTACCTTTCATGATTTCTTTAGCAAATTCCAAAGATGCGGATGCAGTGAATGGGAAACCATAGATAATGAAGGCCGTGGAGGACACATTGTGGGTTGCATAGTCGAGTAACTTCAAAAGGCCACAACACAAACAGAAGTAGAATGGACGGCTGAACACTATTAAACGATTGTAGCCCTGCAAGAAAATAAGACAAGAAATTATGAAAAGTAACAGAGCTGACAAAAGAAAAGCAAGTAATGAATCTAGATGCTTTCCTTTATCTGAAAGGCTATTGTAATCATGTGGTACATTCCCTTTTGCATAAATAAGTTATTTTATAATCATAGATTGTGTTGCTGTTAAATTTCAACATTTTGATTTCTGACTTCCCTGACAATTTTAACACTTACATATAAAAAAAAAAAAGATTAACAAAAGTTTTATTAATATTTTAGCACAATATACAGTCTTCATTGCCCAAAGTCAAAAACAAAATGAGTTTTCTACAGGAGCATCAAACAGCACCACTGGAATACATGTGAATCAAAACAATGTGCAGAGGATAAAATGATTACAAGGCATTAAATTCAAAAAGGGGACGTTACATGTCGCTTAAGACAAAATAGTGAAAGTATTAACATCTTTTTGGGGTCAGAATTTTCGTAAACAAGGAATTATGATAACTATACAGATTTACTTGGACTAATGTCCCTATCTTGGTTGTTCTAATTACACTATTGTACACAACTCACCTTCTTCAGAACATTTATCTCTCCTCAAGCTTGGACAGCAGAATGAGAACTATCTACACCTCTGGAACAAACAATGCAGTTGGTTCCAAATCACTAGAAGGTTACTGATTACAACAGACACCTGAAGAGGGTTGGAGAGTACAAGGGCTAAAAAAAGGACTATAACAACTAAGATGAGGAGACTAAGCACAGTTAAATCAGATTTAACATCCTTTGGTACTAAATTTAATTATAAATGAAAGTGATTTCAAAAAAAGCTATTAATAATGAGATATATTTTTTAAAAGTAATTCTGCTTGGTGTCAAAGACTAAAATCTATCAATTCCACATTACAGGTTGAATATATCCTTTATCTGAAATTCCAAAATCCGAAAACTTTTCAGGTGCTGACATGACTTGCCACAAAATTTAAAATTTTAGAAAGCACTGGGAAGATTCCTAAGGTAATAATGTACAGCTGATGTAAGTAACCTCATCTCCCCTGGGTGAAGGTTCTCCAGCCCAGCTACGTAGCCTACTTTAGCACTAGTCTTTTTTGTTAGCAATCCTCACAGCAACACCTATTATTTCAGGTGTTTCATGCTCAGTAAAGATACTATTCAAAATGTTAAAAAGTCCTGCATTTATATTTTTTGTGTAAGTAGTGATCATGTTTTTTTTTGTACACAGAAAATTACAAAACATTATTTTTCTTGAAATCTTAATTTCCCCAATTAAAATCCATGTGAGCATTACATGACTAGCATCATTACCTGTATCCGTATGTATACAAAATGAATTAAATCTTACATAAGACTACTTTCAGGGTATATGTTATTTATTTAAAACTACTTTCAGGGTATATGTTATTTATTTAAAACTACTTTCAGGGTATATGTTATTTATTTAAAACTACTTTCAGGGTATATGTTATTTATTTAAAACTACTTTCAGGGTATATGTTATTTATTTAAAACTACTTTCAGGGTATATGTTATTTATTTAAAACTACTTTCAGGGTATATGTTATTTATTTAAAACTACTTTCAGGGTATATGTTATTTATATAAGACTTTGTTTAGGGTATAAGCTGTGTTATGAAATGTAAAGGGATAACATGCTTATGCTTGGGTTCCATTCCAAAGCTGCACCATTCTATAGATGCTATATACAAATAGCCTATATATTCCAAAAATCAAATTAAATAGCCTATATATTCCAAAAATAAAAAATCTGAAAATCAAAACACTTCCACTCCCAAGAATTTTGGATAAACAATTCTCAACCTGTAGTAGTTTTAATAGTTTTCCTTTGCTTTTATTTTTATTTAAAGTGTTATTTTATAACTTATCAATTGTTGTGTTAGCATGAAGTCGCGGGTTCAAAACTATTTTTTTCCACCATCATCTGGCAACCCAAAACAACTTTAATCAACTCCACCAAAAATTTTAAACTGTCCCAAAATCAAATTTTTCTTTTTTTATGTAACTTTGTTATCATTTATAGTCATTAGTAACATCAAAAAAAAGAAAAAACTTAAAATGTTTATGAATCTTTTAATTTATTCCATCTTTAAATGTTGGTTCATTGACAGATTCATTTTTCACAGCTTATCAACCCTTTTCAGGTTACTTAAAGCCAGAAAATAGTTTTAGAGTGTAAAATTAGGGGCAGGGAGAATAATGATTTAGTGATACAAGTCTTACTAATTAACCCATAGATGGGGTGAGAAGAGATGGATTCATATCTTTCCCAGGGGCATTTTTGTGAACTTAGCTTTCCAGTTAACAATTCCGAGCCATTATCCATTACACCACCCACACAACCACACATATAGGACATCATATACCCAAGCAGTCACCCATCTAGGTATTGACCAAGCTCAACATTGCTTTACTTCATTGATTGTCCGGGAAGTGGTGTTTCAACATGATGTGGCCATAAGCCGTGAAATTTGTTTTTAATGAAGTTAATACAGGTTGGATAAATAATTAAAAAGGTTAATGAAAGGGATTCAACTCATATCAAGTTATACTTATTATAAAACCCAGGTTGTTTGTATGTGTGTCTGTGTTCGTTTATATATGGGATCGGATTTCCTACATTTTTCAACCGATTTCAACAAAACTTCACTTTTTTTTTTGGCAGGTAGTGTTTCTTATTGTCTTGCACACTTTTTTCTTTATTTTTACATTCAAAATGCTTTAAAAATTCCATTTACAAGACAATTGTTTATAATAAAATTCTATTCAATTGGTAGATTCATAACAACGGAAAACAATGTTTTTGTTTGAGTTTATGATGGTCGATATTTGATCTATCTCTTACTGTTACATCCCCGGGCAATGCCGGGCTCTACTGCTAGTACTTACTAAAATAACATTATTATTATTGTTGTTGTTATTACTACAGGAGAAGGAAAAAAGTACCAGCGACATTTATCGGTACCAACTGATCCATCTTACCTAAATATGCCTCAATATATTCCTATGAAGCTAAAAACTAGAGAAGAAAGTGACACAATTGTAATGATAAAACTATCTTTAACTGTAGTGGCAGATTGTTTTTTTATAAAAATGATATCTGCTTAGTTTTTTTTTTTTTGCAATGTTTTATTATTGTTATCCTGTAGGATATTTTCTATCAACAGGATTTCTTGTTTCATGTTTTACTGTTATGTTTGATTGCTTTTTTATATACAGTAATGTTTTCTACAAAAGCAAATGTGCCTGTGTAATTTTTCTGATAGCCTGATACATGTTTAAATACAGAAAGTATTTTCCCTGAATACACACTGCTGGAATGGCAGGGGTATCTTCTATGCCATCAAACAGAATAGTAGAGAAGGCAATTAACTTACATGCATAGGTGATGCAGCATCTGGCTGTACACTCTGTAAATAAGAAAATAAATATTTTAATTCTTCAAAATATGACAGTGAAAAGAATTCTTAAGTCATACACAAACACTGAGAGAAAAAAAATAAAATAAAATTATCATTCTCAATCATCTAAGTCCATCTTTGTTTCTGTTGAATTGTTCACAAATGTATAGCAACACAGATGTTTCATTTAAAAAAAAAAAAAAAGTTGACTGAAATTATATGGAAACAAAAGATTCAAAATCTGATTTCCCTCAAAAGAATTTCTACTTCTGTGTGTGTGAAAATGATAAATAAATTTTTATATATCAAGAACAGCAGTTTTAGAAAAGAAGAAAGATCTAAGACAAACTGGAAAAAGTTTTTTGTGACAAGTTTCATCCAACAGGGTCTTTTTTTATGTTGCTGTGACTACACATGTACTGCTGGGAGTTTTAAAATTTAGAAATAATTTTTTGCACACAATCTCTCTCTCTTTCTCATATATATATATATATATATAATATATATATATATATATATATAAAATAGTTGGCCACTCGTATTCGAGGACACCCATCTACTAGCTAGACTCTCGCTCAGGCACATTTTTGTTTGTTCAACACCTACAGAGCCCACCTGTGGTTTATACTGCAACTACGCTGAGCAGACCTTAGTTACAGTTTCTGGGAGAGAGCATGTTATCTAGAACAATCAACAATCTGAACAACACCAGCACACTCAAACCCTCAGTCATGATGACTTATAAATTCATGAATTCACTGCTTAAACATTTTTTTTTAATGGATACCACGTTTGAGATGCATGTATGTATTAGATCATTGCGAAAGTTTGTGTTCGATTAGAATAAAACTTTAAACAATCACAAAAACATCAAACATTCATTACTCAAGTACATAGACTTTGTCATTTTTAACAGCTGTCTCCCATCATTCTACAAGAATCTTTGTGTTTTTTATTGAAAGAATGTTGTGAGGTAGTTTTTAACTGACTGTACAGAGACAAATTTGTTTTCATCTAAATCAGTCAATAGACACCAGAACAAATGAAAATCTGAAGAACTCTTAAAGCTTCTGCAAGGTCTGTTTTGCAACATGCGTTATCCTGGTGGAAAATGAAACCTTTTCAATTTGCCGAGATCAACTATTTCTTTTAACTCAGCAGGTGAGATAGTGATTTTGTAAACTCTTAGCAATCTCTGCCATCAAAACCTTCGGTTTATTCTCAAAGATGGCAAGCAGAGCATCTTCACTGTTATCAGAAAGTTGCCCAGAGCAGGATTGATCATTTGGGTTAAATTCATACTGAGTAAATAAATCTATGAAACCACTTTTTGACCATCCAAAGAGGTGGCGTATGATTGAAATAAATTCATAGAGCATAATACAGCAAAAGTGCAATTCACCCTCCATCTTTAAGGCATTCAAAACAACATTCAACAAAATCTGACATAAAAATGAATATTGCAAAGTTTCAATCAAGAACACACCAGAAATCAGCAACAAAACAAATGCCTCTGACAAGTTGCAGTCATTTTATATTAACAATGAAAATCTGGCACAAACTTTTGCAATGATATATATAACGTATATTTTGGCAGCATATTACAATTTATACATGTTGCATTTGTTTATCCTCAACAATATCTTTTCATAATCACATATAAGCTTTGTTGTTTCATGATTAAAGGGAGCAAGGAAGGTACCATGGTTGTATTTATTCATTCTTATTTTTCCGAGTACTTTTGATATATTCCAATATCACCTTCAGGGTTATGGTGGCTAAGACAAATAATTGTGTTTGTCCAAAATAAATTTTTGCTTTTGTAGTTAAACTGTTAACAGTTCCAGTCAGGCACAAGGTCACAAACGGTGATTTTAAAACTTTTTCCTTCTTGTAAAAATTTTAATGTAAGGGAGGTAACTTAGTTAAAAATTAAATTCTTGTTTTGAGATTAGTTTGGTTGTTTTTAAAAAAACTGTTTAGTTTTAACATAGATATTTCTAAACAACTATATACTATAAGCATTTCAGAACATTTGTACTATATTCATAATTAATTTTGTTTGTTAAGTGTTGGTTTTAATTTTTTAATAAAGATGACTTCATGAATTTGTAGTTTCCGCTTGGTGAATATCAATTTAAATGTCCCCTAGAGATTGTACAAAAAAACTAATATATATGTTGGTTATTCTACAACAACATTATCAATATTGCTCACTCTACACATGAATGATTCATCATCCATTGCACAACATCTTCAAAATCATTCCTATTTTTATTTTGCCATCCTAACCCTGAAGAGGATATTGGAATATACCAAAAGCACAATTTCATCCTGCTTGTGGGAAGAAGATATAATTTTCTGTTGTTTAACTGAAGACCCAAGAAAAGAATTATTGAACAATTTGTGGCCATTCTTGGGAGATTTTTTTTTTTTTTAAAGGTTATTTCTTCTATCAGGAAGAAGATACTAGAAACAAAATGGGGTCAAGTGAAATCTGCAGAGAACTTAATCTTACCTTGAGCAAAGAATACTGACAGCTTGCCAAGATGAAGCAGAAGAGGAAAATGTAAAAGTCCTGATAGAAATGAGACGAAAGTATAAGTGCTCCAAGAGAACTGACCGCCACTGCCATAAGCACAGCAACCAGATTCTCACCAAGGGTCAGATTCCTGTAAAACATTAACAGATAGAATTAGTCCAATATTACAAAGTCACTGGTTTGTAAAATCTACAGAATAATCAAGAAAAAGCAGAAATACATTTAATTTTTATTTTTTTAAATCTTACCTACACTGGCACAGGGTAATATTTATAAAATGTACAATGATAAATTTGCAAGCAATGATTTATAAAAGTGATGGTGGAATGTTGTTAGACACATCAGATAGATTTCTACTCAGCTGAGTTGGACACAAGTGTTGAGCACTAACTCAATTCAATAAGCATTAATGCAAGTTGGCTGAACTCTGTGTAACGGATATCAGTGCATTTTAAACTATGACGTGTAGTGCTAGTTAACTTGCAATGGTGACTTCATCTAGCTCATCTCTTAGCATCAGTTACCATCATGGCTTGGACCAGTGCACACTGAGTATTTACATTTGAAACTTTTTTTTTTTTTTTTTTTTTTTTTAAGATGAGTGAATTTGTAATTGTAACCGAGATCTTTTCATTGCTCGTTTCATATTATGTTGAAATGATGCTGTTTCAGATAGAAAATTGATGCTACTATGGGTTTAAAATTTCAGGGCCACAGATTCAGCGCTTAAAAGAAAGCCATCTCAAAGTGCTTGAATTTTAGAAAATGTCCAGGTTTTAGAAATTGTCTACAATAGTGTATGGCAAATTGAGGCCACCATTTGGAGGACATCATTTTTAAAATCAAATAAATAACTGTAACATTTTGTTTAAAAAGTGAAATAATTTTTTTATAGCAGTTACCTTGATCTTTTTGCCAACCTTTAAAATGTAGGAGATATTTCTACCTTACATTGTATATAATTTATTAAGTTGTTGTTATTAGGTTTTCACTTAAAAATTTTCAAATACATTTTACCACTTATTATAGTCTACTTATTTGTGGTGGCACAATTGATTATTCTGGTTGTATGTTTCACATGTTGGATCACACAAAACTCAACTTATTTAACTTTCATTGCCTTATATTCGATAAGCTAGACAACTGGGATCAATACAGAGACCTAACAGTTTAAATTCTATTATATACAATCATTAAAATTAGGTAATAGGCTGCACTGGAGGTAGTTTCACTCAGCACACCAAGTTAATACAAAACAAAAACATCAACTTGAAAACTCAAGTCATGTTCTTAGTTTCATCAGATCAAAATTTTCATATGGATGTTGTGCATAGTGCCAGACTCTTTCAGAAATATCTGTCAGCTCTACATAATTACTTTCTAAAATCAATGGTTAAAAAAACAATTTGAGTGAATGACAACTGTAGGTTTTAGTGAGGACTAGCCTTCTTCAAACCTTGCAGACTGGCACTACATAATCACAAACAAAGGACTGTAGCAAATAACAGAAACCACATCATTTGTGGACTTTCAACAGCAGCAACAATTAAAATGGATATTACAATTAATTCAATGAGAAAATAATGCCATAATCAACAAGTTGATGTGGCACACTACTTCAGATAAAAGGTTAGGCAGAAAACCCGAATCAATACTGGAAAGTCTAACAGCTACTGGACTTGAGAAACCTGTTTTCCTAAAAAATTCTTCTAATAAAATGATTTTATAAAATTTCAATTGACATTAACACTTGTTGCTTGTTAAATAAATGCTTAATGTTTCCTTATAAGGAAACAGCTTATATTACCTTTGAGTTTCTCTATGTAAAAAAAAAAAAATGTATTTATGATAAAAGAAGAAAACTTTCTACGCATAACAAAGATAATGTTCTTTTATGTACCATATCCTTTCAGGATATGATCATGGCTCTCAACATCTTCCTGTCTTTTATTGCACAAAATAACTTTTTAATCCCTTTTATCATCTCTCTTTATCCTTGTTCTGCCATCTATTTACACAAATTTGTTGAGTAGGCTACTTGCCGTTCCCCTCACACCACCCCACTTCTCTTACCTGTGAGCGTTAGATTCTCCAGGCCTTCTTTCCTCATAAAGTGTCCCAGTAAAATAATACACTTTCAGGTATATTTTGATAACTGCATTTCTAATGAAAACTCTCAGGCCTGCTCTATGGTGGAATTTTTTAACCATTTACCATTGGTCCCAGAGATTGGTGTTCAAGTCAAGGTAAAAGCTAAGATTTTCAAAGCAAGCTTTCTCTATTTAATAGACTGACGCAACACAATCTTCCTACACTTTCAATTGACTCTGCACCAGTTTCAGTTAACCCTTTTCAGACAGACTGGCCAAATGCATGTATTTGTTTGCAACTGAAAATAATAAAGTTAAGTGGCTTAGGTGACGGAGGACAACTCAGAATTCAAATTTGGTCCATGGCCTGGGTAATAAAGGTGGTTGGGGAGGGGGGTGAATTAGCACCCTGTGAATAAAATTCAAAGAAAAAAAAAAAAAAAAAAAAACACAAATAAAAAGTCAACAGCATCGCCAATGGCGAACAGGGGTGGGTGGGGTGTGAGAAGGTGTTTGAAAAAAAAGTAAGTATAAAATTGGATGAAATTTATAAATCAATTCAGCACACTCCTTAAATAGACAGGTTCACTTGGAAAAAATAGGAAAAAATATCGGGGGTAGGGGTCATTTTAGTAGATCAGTTCACATTAGATCTTTTCCTCAAGGTGTGACATTTGTCAGAATTGAAAAATATTGATTTCTATTAATTTAGAAGAGGTGGGGTTCTGTTTGTGATATTAGATACAGTGTAAAAATGATCCCTGAATTGGGGATATTTTTTTTCAGAAGTTCATGTACAAAAATTGGGGGATAATACTTATTTATCTTAAATCAAGAATAAATAAATATATACTTTTATTAATATGTAAATTTGTTTTCAATAAAAATGTATAAGTTTCGTTTGAAAAAAGAACTATATAAAATTTGTATATATCCATTTGTTCTTTATTTAAAAGAAATCTTTTTAAAAAAAAAAAAAAAAAAAAAAAAAAAAAAAAAAGAATCTGAAATGATTAAAAAGAAAAAAAAAAATCATTTTTTGAAGAAACTTGAACATTCACGACTACAAAAAAACAATTTCAAAAGGACAACTTTTCCCTTGACACTGCTGTTATTTTAACTACCTTCACTCCTCAGCAATGTTCATAGTTTCAAAACCAATGATTCTGTCAGTTATGTGCCATTCATGATACACGCATAGGCGATGATGTATCTTACGATACAGGACTGAGAAGTGAATTTAAGCATTTTCTTTGTTCTTGAAAAGAACAACGAAAATAAACACTATTAGATTGTTAATTTACACAATAAATTATTTATTGGAATGGTTGGCAGAACATTGGCTAATTGCCAATTGATTCGAACTTTATAAAAATGGTAAATAAAGGATTTCCTTATAGTTGGTTTACATATTTTAATAATTTAGTAAATATTTATAAACTTCTGAATAAAAAAAAAAAAAAAAAAAATCAATGGAAAAACCATTCCTTTACCACAGTTTTTTTTTGAGGCACAAAGGTGCAATTTTACCATTTTTTCGTTCTAACAATTGCTGCCACTTGAGAAAGATCTAATGAAATTTCATCTGCAAAAATTATCCCCACTTCCAAAACTTTTTTGTTTTTTTTTTTGTTTAAAGAAGCAGGCCATTCAAGTAACACTGTTTAAGGGATATAAAGAGAAAATAAATAATAAATCAGATAAGCTAACAAAATCATTGCACAAACCTTTCACTATCCAGTTTCATAAATACATACAGGGTGTGATGGATAAATTGTCGTCTAAATTACACAAAAAGGAAGATAACACTAACATCTCATTTTAACCAATGTATTTACCAAAATTACACAAAAATGCTAAAGAGTAAATTTATTCAAAATAATTGCCATTGGCTTCAGCCACAGCCACCAAATGACTCACAGAATCTCCTGCAACTTTTCTGGGTGGTCTCCTTGTTTAAGTTGATGAATGCTGCCATAATACTTTCCTTCAGTTCATCTGGTATCACAAGGAGATTTGTTGGTCTTTCACTCAACTGCATTCCACGCATAATAATCAAGGAGGTTGCAGTCTGGTGGGTTAGGTGGCAAGATGTAAGGGGTGATGTGGTTGCAGAAATTGTCAGACAGCCATGACTGGGTTCTCCTGCTTGTGTGCCATGGTGCAGAGTCCTGCTGCCAGACATACATTCTTCAAGCAGCCACCCTCTTGACCTAGGACAGCACTACCGCCTCAAGGCATATGATGTAGGTCTCTGTGTCAAGTCTGAAGCCCTCACCAACAAATTAGGCAGTTCTTTTCTTTCCAGATACTCTGAAATGTCCGTATTGCAGCTTCCAGTGCGAATACCAAGTAGTACAGCATGCTGTTTCCAAATTTATGCCAAAGTGAATTGCATCATGGTGGTCTTTTCCTTACAGACAGTGCCCAACTGACCCAACTATACTGTGCAGCCAACAAAGTCAAAAACAAACAACACACATGCGCAAAATTAAAAATATATAGCGGCGACAATTTAACCATTGCACCCTGTATTTATAAGCAAGCAAAAAGCCACAAAGCAAAGGAGGTGGAGTAAAGGGGGGGGAAAAATACTTACCTATCTAATAGTGCTAATAACGCTAACCTATCAAAATGTATTTTGACATATTTGTTTGGAAATAACCAGAATTTGTAAAACTGTTTCGGCTTATCCGGAGACTTGTGATAAGAAGAGGCCTCCGTGACGGATTGACTGTCTGAAAGATCACCTGTGCTCGGCATTGCATAGGATTCTACTAATCCCGATTGTGACGTCCCTAACTGACCCATTTGGCTTAGTTGCCAAGGGTAGAAAGTTTGCATTGTACGCATACTCGATTCAAAATCCAGAGATGTCGGCCGAAATGTGCTGGGCCGATCATCAGCCTTCGGTGAGGGATCAATTATTACTGGAGACGCTGAACCACTGCTGGAGGAACTTTCCCTGAAACTAGAAAAAAAAAAAAACATCAGAATATGACAACCAAAAAACAAAAATAAATACATGCAAGAATTATGAATAGCAATTCTAACGATACAATGGGTCCCTCTCTCTGTCTTTCACCAACTGGACAAATAACCCCCACATTCTGTCTCCCTTCTCATTTGCATCAGTGAGCATAAAACTGGGAAAGGCCCATTGCATGTTCACAGGGAAACAAAAAGTGAAAATAAAGCAATAGCAAGAAATTAAAAATATTAATCCGGTGTCCCATATATTTAGTTATTTCTTCAGGGATCCACTTGCACAGCTTGCAGGCTAGGTAAGTCACACTTTGGACAACTTCTGTCATGACAGACTAACAGATCAGCTTTTCTCTTCAACCAGCAAGAACTGAGACTCTCTCCTACCACCACTTTTGACCATCTCAACATTCCAACATGGAGTTTGAAATAACTCTGTAACATGCAGCATTGGAATTCTCTGCACATTCTAACTGTGATTTTGCTAGTATAAGCCTTTGATTGGAACTCCCAATCTTCCGACCAGGTGACACTTGTTCCTGAAAATTTTCATTTATTCATCTATATATTTCATTCTCTTCTAAACAAATGCATGGGTGCTTTGAAGATCCTACTTCTTTGACTTTACTACTGGTCATAAAAATCAGTGCAAAATGAACATCAGTAGTCCCAGTCAGAAGATTTGCCCCTCCTATTTCATATACTGATAGTTACACCAAATTACACCACCACAAGCAGATGTGTAAAAGATTTTACATACAGTTATGTTTATTATTTACATTATTCGGACTATTGTCCTCATCTTTGTCACCATATTTATCACAACGTTTCGGCCGTTGTACGCTCCGGCCTTCTTCAGGTGGTTGGAATGTCGAACTGAACCCTTTATGTCCTCAAGGACACATGGCACAGTGGATAAAGGCGTTGGTTAGAGGCTAGAGCGTACAACGGCCGAAACCTTGTGATAAATATGGTGACAAAGATGAGGACAATAGTCCGAATAATGTAAATAATGTACATAATACCTCAGAAATATAGACAGACAGGTATGTTTATTTGGATACATGTATATGTGTATATAGGTATAAATACAGTTTTAATGGAATTTGAATATTAACCATAATAATCTATAGAACAATAATCTCAGAGTTGTAATAAAAAGTAACCAAAATAAATATGAAAGAAATCCTGGATTTTATTGGTCCTTCAGTTTGTGGAATGATCTTATTTTAATAGTTACTTTTTTTTTTTTTTTTTTTTTACAGGATGGCACTGCTAGCTCCATATATTACTTTTTCCTATTTTTACCAATTGCTAGAGAATTTGGAGATCTGTCCTAAACTGGTCATCAACTAAAGCTGGAAGCACAGTTTGCCTGACTTGGTGACTTTTTTTTTTTTTTTTACAGGATGGCACTGCTAGCTCCATATATTACTTTTTCCTATTTTTACCAATTGCTAGAGAATTTGGAGATCTGTCCTAAACTGGTCATCAACTAAAGCTGGAAGCACAGTTTGCCTGACTTGGTGACTTTTTTTTTTTTTTTTTTTTACAGGATGGCACTGCTAGCTCCATATATTACTTTTTCCTATTTTTACCAATTGCTAGAGAATTTGGAGATCTGTCCTAAACTGGTCATCAACTAAAGCTGGAAGCACAGTTTGCCTGACTTGGTGACTTTTTTTTTTTTTTTTTTTTTTTTTACAGGATGGCACTGCTAGCTCCATATATTACTTTTTCCTATTTTTACCAATTGCTAGAGAATTTGGAGATCTGTCCTAAACTGGTCATCAACTAAAGCTGGAAGCACAGTTTGCCTGACTTGGTGACTTTTTTTTTTTTTTTTTTTTTTTACAGGATGGCACTGCTAGCTCCATATATTACTTTTTCCTATTTTTACCAATTGCTAGAGAATTTGGAGATCTGTCCTAAACTGGTCATCAACTAAAGCTGGAAGCACAGTTTGCCTGACTTGGTGACTTTTTTTTTTTTTTTATACTGCAGTTCACTCAGTTCAATACAAGGTTTACAGACTGGTTGTGGCAGAAGTAAAAGGAAGTAGGTTGAAAGAGAAGGAAGTATAAGGAGGATAGGTAGTAACCGATACTTGACTTAGTACAGAGTAAACACAAACTGTAACAGCCAAAGTTTGGACGAGTTCAATTCTCTGTGACAGTGACCATTAGAGCAGATGATGAAAAATTCATCAAAATTATCAATAATATTTACCAGTTTCTGTTTTTTTTTTTAAAGAAAAAACTTTTTAAAATTCAACAGAAGTCGTCCATTGTCACGCGCAACCAAAAAACTATTTGCCTTTGCATTTTTTTGCTGTGGTGAAATTTTTGCCTTTATGTTTCCTTTTGAATGTACTATAGACCTTTCCCAGTTTATAGGTACACCAATGCCAACAACAATATGAGATAATAAGCCCAGTTAGCAGAAGACTGACAAGGTTCTGTTGTGTATTTACAAGTGATTCAAGTTAAAATAACAGGTAAACTCTTTTGCCAAAAAGGCAAAACAGTTTTACTTGGAGTGGATGGAGGGATTATTACTTCAACCAATTCCCAAAAATCTGATCAAGCCCCCTTTTTTTTTTTTTTTTTATAGAGTAGTTTTTGGCAAGGATTCAAAACTGTTCAACACCCCCCTCAAACTACTAACCCTTTATCAGTAGACTTCATCATGTCTATCCATTTCTCTTCAGTATCCAAGACTCCCTGTGCTACACCAGAACTATTCTCACCAAATGTGTAGGTGAACCAGTTACCTGAAAAAAAAAGAGATTTAAAAAATATAAAATTAAAAGACTTCTTTTGAGATTAGCTTTAGGAAAGATTCAGAAACATTATTTAATCTGCACAGGTCATAGTTTTTTGTTTGTTCCTCTGCAATCCTAACTTGAAACAAGATATTTTTAACAGTTATATTTATTGTGGCTGTTTTTCCACAATTATGCTTGTTCACTCTGCTGCACTCATTAAGTAAACATAACAAGAACAATCTACCTTTGTATATTAAAAAAGGGTTCAGTTTGAGATTTTCTAAATTGTACTCGAGTCAACAGACATCTGAAGAAGGGCACAACAGCCGAAACGTTGTGATTGTAACAACAAAAATGAGGACTTTAGTCCAACTATAGATAATGTAAATACTAAATTCTATATTTTTTTTTTGTTTATTAAAAAGCTTTCATAATTATTAGAAATAAACTTTCTAATCACTGAATGGCCGAAAGAATTAAAGTATTCATTAATGAATTTGGTGACATTTTGATTTTGAATTTGACTATAAGTTCAATCTCTGGATATAGTCATGCTCAGTGGAAACAGAACAAGCAATAAGTGAGCAGCACTAAAAGGACAATTAAACAATACAAGATATCCCTAGACATGGGCAATGGAACAAGAACAATCTAACCCTATAGATTAAATAACAGATTTAGTTCAAAATTCCCTGAACCTTGATAGACACCTAAAGAAAGCCAGAGGGTACAACCGCCAAAACATTGTGATAGTAACTACAAATATGAGGACTTTATACTAAATTCATGTTTTCTATTTTTTTTTTTATTGATTTCCTGGATTTGAGTCACATAGTAATCCCAGGCATTGTGTACTTGTACCAAGTGGAATCAGAGCAAGCAATAACTGAGCAGTACTAAAAATAAGAACTAGATGAGATATCCCTAGACATGGGCAGTGGAACAAGAATAATCTACACTGTAGATTAAATAAGGGGTTCAGTTCAAATTGTGTGAAAGTTAAACCAGATGGACAAATACAAGAAGATAGCAACAACCAAAACATTGAGATGCTAACAACAAAGATGAGGATATTAGTTCAACTGTAACATAGGCTGATTTTGTTCAAGTTAAAAAAAACTTGACAGACACCTGAAGAAGCCCAAAAGGCACAACAAGCAAAATGTTATGAGTAACAACAAAGATGAAGACGTAACAACAAAGATGAAGACGTTACTCCAACTATAAATGCAAATAATAAAATTCTATTTTTTTTATTTTGTTTGTTATTAATTTTAAGAGAATCTCCTTTTACTGATTCAATGTCTTCAAGTTCTGGGTCACTTAGATCAAAGACTTTAGAAGTCTTTCATGTGGAGAGATGACCTGACAAATGGGTGTCTTTATCTGGGCTTTCATTGGTTGATGACAAAATTAAGTGAGTTGGCTGGCAAAGTCAGTTGTTGTAGAAATCTTGTTCTTGTTCTTGTTGTATATCTTGAATATAACAAACCCAATTGAAATTGGAACTCTGCTCTGCAATTAACATTTCAGAGCCATTATCCATTACACAACCTGCACATCCAGACTTACAGCAGCTGGTATTCCCAAGCGGTCATCCATCTAGGTACTGATTGTAAAGGAACTGGTGTTTCAATATGATGTAGACATAAGCCATATACTTTGTCTCACAGCTTATAGTTATTCCTTTATTCTTGCCTTCTGTAAGTGTTCTTTCAGTTTTTTTTTTCTTTTAGGTCTTCCATCAACACAATACTCGGAAGTGTCAAAGCAGACATCTTATCTTCACATTTGTTGTTCAGCACTATTTTCCTTGTTTCTAAGGGCACTTATTTATTTTTAATACTTTGCTTATTTTCTGTAGCAAACAAATTGTAGCAAATATATTAATCCCTTCATAGCATCTTTATTCAGTCACTCAAATATTCCATTAGTAAGAAAGAAGTTCCATTCAAACAGCTTCTTCTCAAGAACCATTGTATTGCGAAACAATTTTAACCTTTCATGTGCCTTTGGATTTATGGGTTTGGTTTGGTTTACAGCATATCAATACCTCAATGGGTTATTTAATGTCGACAAAATTTTTATTGTTGGTAACATTTTTTTTTTCCTTCAAAAAATCTATTTCTGGTAATATTTTTTTTTCAGAAATATATAGCTAGTAATTTTTTTTTTTTTGAAAAATGGTTATTTAAAGCCAGAAATTATTTTTAGATTGTAAGAATTTTTTTTTTTTTTTGACACTAATGGTTTAGTGATACAAGTCTTACTAATTAACCTGTAGCTGGAGGGAGAAGAAGTGGATTCATACCTTTCCCGGGGTATTTGCTCGTAAATGAATATAACAAACCCAATTGAAATTGGAACTCTGCTCTACGATTAACATTTAGCTGGTAATAATTTTTTTTACAAAATATTTCTTAGGTGCCTCAACTTTCCATTTTTTTTATTCAGCACTCTTTTCTTTGTTTCTAAATGTACCCGTTATTAATACTCTGCTTAATTTCTGGAGGACATCTTTCTCTATTCTTGTGTACCTTTAGATTTCTGCATCAATTTTTTGTGCTGTTAACTCCACACTACTACAAAAGGTTAGGAAGGCCACCACCCTATCAATAGTGGAAAGAACAATAACAGCTAATGGACTTAAGAAACCTATTTTTCTTAAAAAATTGTTTTAAGAGAAAAATTTTATAAATTACATCCGAAAGAAATTACTACTGGCAGCACAGTTAATGCATGCCAAATATTTCCTTATAAGGAAACGGTTAATATTCCCATTATGGTTTTTAATATACAAAAACATTATGAAAAACATCAAAATGTCACTTCCCTTTTCCTCTTTTATAAATATTTTCATGGTAATTGTTCTGATGGGCTTTCCTCATTGGTACCTCGACTTCTCGAATTAAAGTGCAGTACTAAATTAGCAGCTAGTTCTCATAATTTCACTGTTGGAATTGTTCAATGTAACTATAAGTTCTATACGAACAGTTCCTTCTACTACACTTCTCACTTGTGAAACTTCTGGCTTTCTGCTTTCCTGTGAACTATGATCTTCAAAAATGTAAATGCAATGTCAATCATTATCTTTTGTCTCCTTGAATCTTGATCTTTTATTACCCTGATTCTTTCACTCTCAGTAAACCCCAAAATACCATTTGGCTTTTATTGTCTTGCTTGGGGGTGAAAGGATTAGTGATTGATTGATTTGTTTGTTTTTTTTTTATGGTTTATCAACCTTTCGCAGGTTAAAGTTAGAAAGCATTTTTAAATTGTAAGAATTTTTTTTTATAATAATGCTTTACTGATATAAGTCCTACTAATTACCCAATAGCTGGGGAGAGATGAGGTGGATTCATACCTTTCACAAAAGGTTTTTGTGCATAAGTAAATATAATGAACCAGACTGGAATTCGAACTGAATTCCAAGCAGTTATCCATTATCCACCCACACATCCAAGATTACAACAAATGGTATTCCTAAGCGGACACCCATCAAAAGGTCGACTATGCTTGACATTGCTTAATTTCAGTGACTGTACAAGAACTGGTGGTGAAATGATTAAAAGAAAAAATCCCAAGTGAAAATGTGGTTGAGGGAACTTTCCAATTGTTTTTTAAAGTCTACAAAAAGTGCATGTACATAAGTTTATAGCTTTGGATGCTATGAAAACACAATGAAAAGCTATGAAAACACAATGAAAAAAAAGTTGGGTTGGTGGCGTTAAAGGTCATATATTCTATTAAAAATCATCTGAGAAAACATTTCTGCTTTCCTTGAGTGCAACTGATGCAAACTTCCAGAAGAGTGACTCATTGCACCTTCTCAGACAAACATTTTCCATGGACATGAAATGGAAAGATTATATTGAATCTATTGCTCAGCCTGCAGCTAGGAAAATTGGTTCTGTGTCAAACTAGACAATTTTTCTCACCAAAATCTATCTTACAGATTTACAAGTCTACCATTCATCCCTGCTTAGAATATTGCTGCCTCATATAGTCTCATGTCCCCGTTACATATTTAGAGATCCTTAATAAAATACAAAAAATCTGCAATGTCATTGTTCCTGATCTGGCATCATAGCTACAGTCACCTTCCCCACAGCCATAACATAGCTTCCCTGTGCCTTTTCTATAAATAATTTCATGGTAATTGTTCTGATTAACTTTCCTTTATAGTAGCTAGACTTTATGAATTTAAGTGCAGTAATAGATTGGCAGCAAGGTCTCAGCAGTTTATAGTTGAAATGGCTAGATTAACCATATGTTCTATACAGTTTTTTCTTGTACTTCTCGCTTGTGGAACTCTTCCAGCTTCTTGCTTTCCAGTCTTCTTAACTTGTTTTTTTATTGTTCGCACTACTTAAAGTTTTTCTTATATTCTCTAACATTCAATAATTACCTGCATGTTAGTGGCTTTGTTGCCTTACTTTGGGTTTGATTTGGTTTGTGGCATATCAACCTCAATGGATTATTTAATGCCAACAAGATTTTTTATCACTGTTAATATTTTTTTTTTTTTTTTTTCAAAAAATGTACTGCTGGTAATATTTTTCTTTTTTCAAAAATATACTGCTGGTAATAATTTTTCCAAAAATGTATTGCTGATATTAAAACTTATTTTCATACTTTCATATTGTTTTGACCGCTTTTGGAAGGTTAACTATTTGACCATAGCTGGGATGCTGACAGGTTTCACCACCCTGGGTCAGGGTGGACCTGAGAACATCAGTAATTAAGAGGTGGTTCCATGCTCCTCAAAACCTCCTGATCAAAGGCCTTGCTGCCGGGTGTAGTTTATCGTCTTACCCAGGACACAGATGTAGTTTATCGTCTTACTCAGGGTGCACCTTACTTTAGGCGAAATGATAAAAAGGGAAGAGAAATAGACTGAATTTTAACATGAAATAGAAACAAACTTTAAAATATAAAAAATAACCATGAATTTACCAAGTTCATCCTGAAAATAATGCATCGCTCCCTCTGTGGTATCATCATGAGAGGAAGCCAAGTGACCACCAGATCCAACAATCATGTTGGATAGGGCAGTCAGAGGTGGGGAATTTCTACGGGGAGCACGTCTGGCTGCAACGCGTCCGTGCTCCCGGCGGTAACGCCGCCTGTTAATGAAAATACAACGTACAGTGACTTTTAAGTGAGGTATATTAAAATGACAAAAAGAGTGAAATAGTAAAAATCTATTATGTATCTAAATTGCACAGAATTTAATCTTTACATTTCAAATTAGATTACATCACACAAATTGGTACAAATTTAAAACAAGTTAGCGTAAAAACATTACCATCTTTTTAGATAAAATTAAGTAAAATCAAACTTACAAACCTTGCTTTTTGATCATCTTTGTAAAAAAAGTCTCTGAGAGGTAACAGTGCTGATACCTCAGTGGGAGTGAGTGATTTTGAATCTGTAGAACGCGTATCTCCATCTTCTGGAAGAGGAGCACCACCCACAGCCCCACCCAACTCAGCTGGTGATGTTGCCTTATCCTTCATGACCGTGGGTTCTGTGAAAAAAAAATTAAAAAAAATTTTTTTTTTTTTCAATTCCAAGCAAAAAAAAGAAAAAAAAAAGACAACAAAAGTGACAGAAACCTGAAAGGGATTAGCTTGCTTAAACATCTAAATGCACAAGACATAAAAAAAATAAAATTTAAAGTCAAATGTCCTGACATCTTTAACATTTTCAATATAAAATTATCACCAACATCCACTGTCTTTCTTCAAAGCCCATACATGTAATGGTAATCTTGACAACTAAGAAACATGTAGAAACAACATGACATAAATGCAATCATGTTTCAATGTGTATCAAAACATCTCATCAGGCGTTAGTAAATGACTGCTTATTCAGTCATTTACTAACATCTGATCAGATGTGTTGATGTAGCATTGTTTCTACATGTTTGAATGTAATATCCTATAATAAAGAGTGTGTGTGTGTAAGTGATAGAAATTAGGGGTGGGGGGTGAATAATCATTTGTAGTAATTCATTGGTCTAGAAAAATCCTCAACTAAATGCAAAAAAGCACTGGATGACCGTTTCGTTCTATTTGGAACCCATCACCATAAGGTTGAAACCAAGGTAGCAGATTCAACTGACCTCCCGATTTTTAAAGTTAAAAGCTCTACATGTTATTTTTACTTTTCTTTTATTTTTCTCGCACATATATTGAGCACTCTTAATACTACTGTTTCCTGGTCTGCCCATTAACCTTTGAGATTATATATATATGTAATATATATATATATATAATATAATATATATATATATATATATATATATATATATATATATATATATGAGTCAATGTCCCTTCAGGACTTTGACAATTCTCCACAACTTCCTGAGGTTTGTCGTTCTTAGCAATGTTTATCTTTTTGTTATGTTTCCTAATCCCTGTTCTGCCAACCATTTACACAAGCTAATAAAGTAGGTTATTCACTCTTTCCTTTCTCCCTCTTGACCTTTATGTGCCAAATTTTCCTCATTATGTGCCCCAGAAACTTAATTTCACTTGTTTCTCTGATTCTAAGTATCAGTGATCTTTTCATTTCCATTCTCTCCAAAACTTTAGTATTTCTCACATGTTCAGTCTATAGTATCATTATACTGTTCTCTCTGTACAAGGCCCAAGAGCAGTGGTGAACCAAAAACTTGGAAAGTTGAGTTAAAGGGAAATAACCGAGTCATCCGGAAGAGGCATGGCACGTGGAACGTTTATTTTGAAATTCCAATCACCTAAAGAATGCCAAGAGCGTACAATGGTCAAAATGTTGTGAATGTGGCAATGAAAATGAAGATATCAGTTTGAATAATGTAAATAATACAAAGGCTGTATACAGTTTTGAATTCACAGCTGCCTACTCTTGGACTGGTTGCCAATCACTGCTAGAAAGTCCAGTCTGCCTTGCTATTTAACCTATAGCTGGTTGGGAGACAAGATAGATCCCTACCTTTCCAAAAGCTATTTGTGGAAAAGTGAATGCAGCAAACTCAACCGGAATTTGGGCCAGATTCACAGATTTCACATTCTAAGCCACTAACAATTATGTCACTTACATATCTCCAATTCTAACAAACCAGTTAAATTTGGTGAAAAAAACAATACCTCACCTTTGAGTCGGCCATCTTTGCTCTGATCATCATTCCGTGAATAACTTCTCTCTAAGAAGAAAAAAGAAATTTGCTTAAAAAAAGAGAAATCAACAATGTAAAACTCAAAAAAAAAAAAAAATAAATAAATAAAAATACTGTCAGCAATGTCCCATTTAGGAACTTGTAAATTCTTGAAAAGAGTACATGCCAAATGGCATAAGGGAGCATCACAAGCAGGTTGATGAGAGTTCAGCATTAAAATCCAAGGCAATAGAAAAGCAAATCCGAGCCTCAAGCTAAGCAGCAAAGACTTACTTGTTGGTTGTACAACAGCTTTTAATTTGCGCATCTTTTCAGGGAATTCATTATTGTCATCTAAGATTTCAATGATGTTCCTGCGCAGTGTTTCAGGATCTGGAGGGTCAGGAGACGCATTGAATGGACCCTCATCTGGAAGAGAGAGAGAAACAAATGAAAAAACATTTTTGGTTGGAAGCAAAAAAAAACATAAAAAAAGTGTGTGTCAGTGTGCAAAAGACATTAAACTTGTTTAAACTGAATCAGCTTTAGAATTTACTAAATCTATTAAATAGGAAGATTTTTGTGGTGAAAGCTGAACATATTTAACTCTATCCCAGGCAGATGGGGTACTTTTTTTGCCCACGTACAATTTTCAATTTATATTGCTCCTTTTGTGATTGAGGTATTGATTTGAAACTGCAGGTATGTTACTCAAAATAGACTATCAAATAAAAAAAAAAAAACAAAAAACATCTTGAATTAAACTAAAAAGGTAATTGCAAATATAGTAAATACTGCTTTTGTTTCAGAAATGCATGAGGAATTTAGTAGTTTCTATAAAACTCCATAGTCTTACTTTAACCTTCCAATACAGGTACTTTATAGCCTTAGTAGCCAAATATTAAAAAGAGCATTCATCATGAATTTTTTTGCATTGAAACATTAGTTACAGACCGAATGAAAATTTAGAATCAAAACTAAATGCTAAAAGAATAATCCTGCAAAGTTTCAAACAATTTAAGCTATAATTCGGAGCTCTACAGCATTTTAAAGTTGGTAGCCAAAAAAAGTTCTCCCTCTTTTTGCTAATTCCAAAATAACCAGCCTGAGATAGGGTTAACACAAGTCAGGAAAGAATTCACGCTTCTATAAAATTCTCCACATTACACAGTACAAAGAAGTGGCCGATTTGTGTGAAAATTGTTTATGATTATTCTCAAAATTTAGAGACAAGATATCATTTTAGCAATTTGGTGATGTTCAGTTGTTTTAATCTCTGAAGCACATCAAAGAAAAAAAACAACAGCATTACCAAAGTTGTAATGAAAGCTGCTTGGCAAAATATTTTTTTTTTCACAAAAAAGATATTGAACAAGACAATACATGAAAAGCAAGCCTTAAAAACAAAACTTCAGGTAAGCCTTTAAACTGTGCCTAAGATAATAAAAAAAACTTTATCAAATAATATTAACAATAATGCAACATACAAAGACAGGGAATTTAAGAAAATACACGGATGAAAAGTCTGAAAGTTTTTAAGAACCAAATCACAGAAAGCAATTTGAAACACCACAAACACACATATAATATTGATCAGTGACTACAAAATTAAAAATCTTAAAACATACAACTCCAAAACGAAAGCAAGAACCATGAAAATTTATCTAAGATTCATTAAAACACTTAGTTTTAATGCAGCCTCAGTCTAGATCTAAATCTAGCCAGTCAGATGTGCGAAATCTGTAACCGTCATTTTCATTGCAGAGAAGAAAAAAACAGAAAAACAATTCATAGATTTTTATAGTCTTGGATCTGAATTGATCCATGATGCTTCCAATTTGGGATAATGCTGGACAGAGTTGAGGAGGGGGGGGGGCCTATTTATCTTTGGGTGTATGAATAAGTAGAATTTCTTTCTTATAACAGCCAAATATTCAACCAAAAGCTGAACCCAAACTCAAAAATATTCAACAATAAAGAAAAAATAAAATCACAAACAACAAAGGAGAGCCAAGACCTATCAATGGTGATCAAAAAAAATGAAACTTAAAAATTTACAATAGGACAAGAAGAAAAGGAAACATATTTAATCACCCAAAGGAAGCATCTTAAAAAAATAATAAATAATTCTTGGAAAGTATGCTTGTAAATAAACAACATTATCACAAAAATTTTTGTCTTCACACATTTCTTTTACCAAGATATATATTGTTAAAAGTGGAAATATATAAAAAGAGAACAGTCCTCAATATCAGAGATACAGTGTGGACATAAGAATCAACAATGAATGGTTACTGTCAGTTTCATATTCCATCACAATCTCCAGACCAATTTCCATTATTCCTTTAACTAAAGAAATATTGGTATTAAAACTGTCTCCATGCAGTGTTGATTTCTATGACCAAAAATCTCTCTCTTATATGAAAATTCTGTTTCAACATGTTTCACTGATATTATTTGATGCCATCAGAAACATCCCATGCTTACTGAATACAGGCTTTAAGAACCTACTCTTGTAGGATATCAGTTGAGGAAGACCTTTCACCTCACTTCTGCTGCATCAGAGAGTGAGTGAAAATCGGAACGGGTGATAGCATAAACAGGAAATGCTTCTGGTGTCTAAAATAGACAGGACACACAGGTGTCCTGAGCCTTGAATAAACAGGACGCACAGGTGTCCTGAGCCTTGAATAAACAGGATGCACAGGTGTCCTGAGTTGAAGGAAATATGTGCTTATGTGGGCGCATGCTGGAAGAGGTGTGGCCACAAGAACTTACGTAGATGACATACTGGAAGAAGGCATAGCTACGTGAAGTTATGTTCGTGTCCAAATGTTATAAAATCAGTCCAACTCTTGGCCTGGCTAGAATTTTCCCAAAGATTTGTCTCCATCAATTCCTGTGTGTGCAAGTCTAACCTCAGTGATTCTCCCTCACTCTACCCAATCGCCCCAGCTCAAACAAAGACATCTATATATTTTTAAATATATAAAGTTGATGTTATTGGACTGGAGGGGTCGATCCCAACATGCGGCACCTATGGAAAGGGCCTGAAAAACATAACATAGGCTGACCCAAGCCGTGTGAATGAAACTGGGTAGACAGAACTTTTGGGTGCTGTCTATAGCTGTGCTAGCACGAAGTCACAAGTCATCATATCATGGCTAAGGGCTTCAGTGCGCTAGCCTTGTTCAAATTGTTGATCACAGTAGATAACACACTCTTTCCCAGAAAGTGTAACTAAGGTCTGCTCAGCATAGTTGCAGTATAGATCGCAGGTGGGCTCTGTGGGTATTGAATAAACACAAACGTGCCTGAGCAAGTGTCTGTAATAGGGATTGCCCTAGTAGACAGATATCCTCAAATACGAGTGGCCAGCTATACTATACTATATATATATATATATATATATATATATATATATAAAAAGACATTTTTATGTTTAACATTCTTTTTATAAATACAAGTATTTATGTAAATGCTCTGTTTATAATAAACAGTATTAAATAACATTTACCGGACTGAATGTCCAAGAAATTTTCATAGAAAATATTCGTCCTTCGACAGGATTTGAACCTGTATCCTACACGGAACTATCATATAGCCTGACGTGCCTTACCTCTTGGCCACAAAGGATTGTTCAGTTGGCAAGGTCGAACTTACTGCTTATAAACTTCAACTTTCCATGAATCTCTCACGTACATTCATAACTGCTTATGGCATATCAAATGTAAACAAATAACGTCACACATTATGAAATGGACAAAGTCTGACAATTATTTAAATACATTTTTATGTTTAACATTCTTTTTATAGATACAAGTATTTAAGTAAATGCTCTGTTTATAATAAACAGTATTAAATAACATTTACCGACCTGAATGTCCAAGAAATTTTCATAGAAAATATTCGTCCTCCAACAGGATCCGAACCTGTATCCTATACGGAACCGTCATATAGCCTGACATGCCAACCAAACGATCCTTTGTGACTGAGCGGTAAGGCACGTCAGGCTATATTATAAACAGAGCATTTACTTAAAAACTTGTATCTAGAAAAAGAATGTTAAACATAAGAATGTCTTTAAATAATTGTCGGACTTTGTCCATTTCATAATATATACACACACACACACACAGAGTGTATCAAAAATACTTTTACATATTTTGGGGATGGATTCCTCACACCAAAGCAAAGACCATATAAACATATGTCCACCAATCCTTTGATTTTTGAAGTTTTAAGTTTAAAGAAAGTTTATGGTAGATGGTGATGTGTTGCCATGTAGACTTGGTTACATTAGTCCTTTGTGGAGATCTGTGGCTCATCTGTCTTCAACATATGTAGTAGTGAGTTAATGGAAAAATGTCCTATTGGTAGGATATTCATATCGTGATCAGACAGATATGATTTTTACATACAACCGCATGAATGGTAATGTACACAAGGCTGTATCAGATTGTATTTCCAGATCAAAGGCAGCCAAGTCATCCAACCTTTGCTGCTGTTTATCACTATGTTGTCGTGACAGAGATCAAGGAAGACCAAGATCCACTCATATGCATAACCATGAAGAATATATTCTACAGGCTGTCAGAGAGGATTCAGGTATCAGCACACACCAAGTGGCCCTAGCATGTTACACATTTCATAGTACTGCATGGAGGGTACTTCAAGAGCAACTCCTGGATTAGTATCACTTGCAATGTGTGCAAGGTCTTTCACCCTCTGATCACTCACCACAGAACTTTTGCTGATGGTTTATTGCACAAACTGCCAACCTGTTGCTTGTCTCTTCAGTCTTGTTTACGGATGAGACAACATTTGGGAGAGATGGAATAACAAATTTACACAACCAACATTTGTGAGTGGATCAAAATCTCCATTGTACAATACAGGATAGAGACCAGCATCAGTTTACGATTAATGTATGAACTGGAATTATAGGTGACTGTCTGCTAGGTTCATATATACTCCCAGCACGTCTTACAGAAGTCTACAGAGACTTTATTTTGAACATACATCCAGACCTGCTAGAGGACGCACCCCTGCTAATGTAAAGATGCATGACAAGGCTCCAGCACATTTTAGTCACATTGTTCACAATGCATTGGCTAACATCTACCATGAAAGATGGATAGGTAAGAGGGACCAGTTCCATGGCTTGCACATTCCCCTAATCTCAATTCTTTGGATTTTTATCTGTGGGGTTACCTGAAACAATTAGTTTATGCAGCAGATATTAATAATGCAGAGACACTTCATCAATATGTCATGGGGGCCTGCAAAAACATGTGGGAGTATTTGAAAGGGTCCACCAGTTAATGATCCATTAGGTGCATGCATGTGTAGAAGCAAGCAGAGAACATTTTCGAACATTTGTTATTTTTTGTGTTGAGGCAAAATGATGGCCTTTTGGACATGCTGAT